TTAATCAAAAGGTGCAGTACAGAGTCAAACACCTTACAGAAGTTTAAGTGTATTACATCAACACTATTACCTTTATCCACCAAACTTTTAATCTCATCAGAAAAGATACCAAGTTAGCTTGGCAAGATCTATTTTCCATAAACCTACGTTGATTTGCATTAATTACATTACTCTTCTTTAATTCTTTATTAATCAAGTCCCATATCAGTCACTCCATTTTCTTGCCCAGGAATGATGTCAGGCTTACAAGCCTATAATTACCCAGGTCATCCTGTTCACCCTTTTTAAATATTGACACAACATTAGCTTTCTTCCAGTTTTCTGGTACTTCCCCATTGCTCCAAGACTTACTGAAAATCAACATTAATGGTCCAGCCAACTCCTCAACTAGCTCTTTAAAGTTATCTGGATATGCTGGTTTTAAAATGTCTGACTTTAGCAGCTTCTGCTTTACATCCTCCAGTGATACTAGTGGAATGGAAAGAGTGTTAGTATCACCCTATGATGAGAGGTTTCAGAGTAGCAGCCGTGTTAGTCTGTATTCGCAAAAAGAAAAGGAGGACTTGTGGCACCTTAAAGACTAACAAATTTATTTGAGCATAAGCTTTCATGAGCTACAGCTCACTTCATCGGATGCATGCAGTGGATATGATGAGACTATATCATGTTTTCCCCCAAATACAGAATAGAAATGTTTATTGAATACTTCTGTCTTTTCTGCATTATTATTGATAATTCTACCATTTCCATCTAGTAAAGGACCAATACCATTGTCAGTATTCTTTTTGTTCCTCATATACTTACAAAACTCCTTCTTATTGTCATGAATTCTGATGGCCATAGAGTTCTCCTTGTGTCTGTTTGCTTCCCTTATCAATTTTCTACAATTCCTAGCTTCTGATTTATATTCCGTACTATAAATTTCCCCTTTCTCCCATTTATTATATATTTATTATTTTTATAGCTGCCTTCACTTCCCCTCTAAACCAGATAATTTTTTTTCACCTTTAAGGCTGTCTTCCTTATGTGTGGGATTGTGCCTTTATGGGCATAGAGTAAAATGCACTTAAATTATTCCCAATTAGCATCCACATTTGTCCAATTAAATTCTTCCTGCCAGCTGGAAGATGAGATCCCCTGATGAGATGCCCCCATGCCTGCCCCTTGCGCTTATGCAGGACTCTGCTACAGACAGACCTCCTGCTTAGAGCTGGAGGGCCCAAGTCTTTAGCAGACAACAATGGCACCCCAGTGGTGGTGATCATCTCTGTGCCAGGGGTTCATTTCCCCAGAACCATGCACCCTCGGGTGACATCCAGGGCCACACTAAAGGGGGTAGCAGAGTGTGGGCTCCCCTGCCTCTCTTTGTAGCTGGGATGAAATAAGCACTAAGATGACTACCCTGACTGTCAGGCTACAGAATCATTCTCGCCTGAGACTGACAGCCCCGGGCAGGTCCCTGTGGAAGCAGCTCCTCACACCACTCAGCCCCCAGGGGAGGTTTCGGGAATAAATTGATAAACTAAACAGTAATAAATCACCAGGCGCAGATGGGATTCACCCAAGAGTTCTGAAGGAACATAGATGTGAAATTGGAGAACTATAACTGTGGTTTAAAGAAAAGGAGTACTTGTGGCACCTTAGAGACTAACAAATTTATTTGAGCATAAGCTTTCGTGAGCTACAGCTCACTTCTTCGGATGAATGCACGAAAGCTTATGCTCAAATAAATTTGTTAGTCTCTAAGGTGCCACAAGTCCTCCTTTTCTTTTTACGAATACAGACTAACACGGGTGCTACTCTGAAACCTAACTGTGGTTTGTAACCTATCATTTAAATCAGCTTCTGCACCATATGACTGTAGGGTAGCTAATACAATGCTTTTTTTTTTTAAATAAGGCTCCAGAGACGATCCCGGTAATTACAGGCCAGTAAGCCCCACTTCAGTACCAGGCAAATTGGTAAAAAAAATATAGCAAAGAACAGAATTATCAGACACATAGATGAACACAATTTGTTAGGGAAGAGTCAACTTGGTTTTTGTAAAGGAAAATCATGCCTCATTAATCTATTAGAATTCTTTGAGGGGGGTCCACAAGCGGTGATCCAGTAGATATAGAGTACTTAGACTTTCAGAAAGCCTTTGACAAGGTCCCTCAACAAAGGCTCTTAAGCAAAATAAGCAGTTGTGGGACAAGAGGGAAGGTGCTCTCATGGCTCAGTAACTGGTTACAAGATAGGAAACGAAGGGTAGGAATAAATGGTCAGTTTTCAGAATTGAGAGAGGTAAAGTGATATCCCCCAGGTCTGTACTGGGACCAGTGCATAAATGATCTGGAAAAAGGGGTAAACAGTGAGGTGGTAAAATTTGCAGATGATACAAAACTACTCAAGATAGTTAAGTCCAAAGCAGACTCTGAAGAGATACAAAGGGATCTCACCAAACTGGGTGACTAGGCAACAAAATGGCAGATGAAATTCAGAGTTGATAAATGCAAAGTGATGCACTTTGGAAAACATAATCCCAAATATACATACAAAATGATGGGGTCTAAATTATCTGCTCCCACTCAATAAACAGATCTTGGAGTCATCGTGGATAGTTCTCAGAAAACATCCCCTCTCAGAACACAACAATGTACAGCGGCAGTCAAAAAAGCTAACAGAATGTTAGGAACCATTAGGAAAGGGATAGAAAATAAGACAGAAAATCATATTGCCTCTATATCCATGGTACACCCACATCTTAATTACTGCATGCAGATGTGGTCGCCCCATCTCAAAAAAGATATGTTAGAATTGGAAAAGGTTCGGAGAAGGGCAACAAAAAGATTAGGGGGAGGAATGGCTTCTGTATCAGGAGAGATTAAAAAGACTGGGACCTTGCAGCTTGGAAAATCAGTGACGAAGAGGGGATATGATAGAGGGCTATAAAATCTTGACTGGTGCGGAGAAAGGGAATGAGGAAGTGTTATTTACTCCTTCACATCACACAAGAACTTGGGGTCACCCAATGAAGTTAATAAACATCAAGTTTAAAACAGATAAAAGGAAGTATTTCTTCACAGAACGCACAGTCAATCTGTGGAACTCGTTACCACGGGATGTTGTGAAGGCCAAAACTATAACAGGGTTCAAAAAAGAACTAGATAAGTTCATGGAGGACAGGTTCATCAATGGCTATTAGACAGGATGGTCAGGGATGCAACCCCATGTTCTGAGTGTCCCTAGTCTCTGTTTGCCAGAAGCTGGGAGTGGACAACAGGGGATGGATCACTCTATGGTTGTCTGTTCTGTTCATTCCCTCTGGGGCACCAGGCACTGTCGGCAGACAGGATACTAGGCTAGATGGACCATTGGTCTGACCCAGTGTGGCCATTCTTATGTTCCTCCCTCCAACCCTGCTGCCTCTCTCCTGCCTTTAGTAACTCAACCCCCTTTGTAAATGTCATTTACACTGATGCCACCTTGCAACCCTGCATCTGGTTGCCCTTCATTTCCTTACTCACAGGGAGCTGCTGCCCCTCAAGTGCCCTCTCAGGATCTGGCTACTTTACAGGGAACAACAGGGCCCCATCTCCCCCAACCTCACCCTCTGAGGTGTTGGAGACAGGGCCTCGCCCGTCCCAGACCTGTCTATCGGCTGGTTTTGAGAAGTTCCCGTGAAACCAGGAAGCTGGTTCCTAAATTGATTCAGACCAAGGCCATGCCCACAATGTAGGGCTCTCTGTCCCACTCTACTGGTAGTGGTGCCACCTGGCAGTCACTAAACCATCACAGGCTTGGCTAGCAGAGCAGGGCTTTAGCTCAGGCAACAGGTTGCACTTTAAAGTCCTGAGGTCCCAGGTTCAATCCCCCCATTGGTGGCCCAGCTGTCAGTGTGGCGGTACACCACCAGCTCCTTCCAGGGCAGTGTGAATCTTTCTCCTGCCACCTCATTGTTATTTTTGACACACTCTGGAGTATTATGTCACCTGTCAAGGTAATTGTCTGTTTTGACGGTCTGTCCTGTTTGTGAGTCGTTCGTCTGTGGTGGTTGGCTGCAGGCTGGGTTCCATTCGACAGGAGGCGGGCAGTGCAGCCTGCTGGGCTGGTGCCAGAGACCCTGGCACACCTTTCTCCAGGCATGTCTGAGCGGGTGCGTTGCTCGTGCAGGACATGCCACTGAATAGCAGACAGCTTGTTCTGGCTGGAGAGCACAATGCTGGCAGTAGGCCAGGCCAGACAGGGCTCAGCCCAGGGACATGCTGGCTCCCAGCTGTGAGACAAGGTGGTTTCTTGAGACTGTATCTCTCTGGGCCCCATTGAATGTGGAAAGTTGGGTGTCCTGGAGGGCAACCAAGCACACAGGGACCATGTGCACTGGTGACCAGCTGGCTGCATGTGCCCAGTTGCTGTGACTAGATGTACAAGTCAAGCATGCAAATGCACATGCAATTCTATGGAGAGCTGGCCCAGGCTGTCAAGGTTCCCCCCTCCCCACTCTGAACTCTGGGGTACGGATGTGGGAACCTTCATGAAAGACCCCCTAAGCTTATATTCTACCAGCATAGGTTAAAACTTTCCCAAGGCACAAATTCCTTTCCTTGTCCTTGGACAGTATGGCTGCCACCACCAAGTGATTTACACAAAAATTTAGGGAAGGGTCACTTGGAATCCCTATCCCCCCAAAATATCCCCCCAAGCCCCTTCACCCCCTTTCCTGGGGAGGCTTGAGAATAATCTACCAACCAATTGCCTTAACAATGTGAGCCCAGACCAGACCCCAGGGCAGGCTCTACCTTTTTGCCGCCCCAAGTGGAAAAGCAAAGAAGAAAAAAATAAAAAAGCTGCTGCCAAAGTGCCGCTGAAGAAGGAAAATAAAAAGTCCGAGCACCGCCCCAAGAACGGCCGGAGGGTCGCCCCTTCCAGGTGGCCGCCCCAGGCTCCTGCTTCCTTAGCTGGGGCCTAGAGCCGGCCCTGCCAGACCCTTTGTCTTCAGGACGCTGAAATCAGTCAGGTTCTTAAAAGAAGAACTTTATTATAAAGAAAAAAGTAAAAGAATCACACCTGCAAAATCAGGATGGAAGGTCACTTTACAGGGTAATAAAAAGATTTAAAACACAGAGGATTCCCCTCTGGGCTCAGCTTCACAGTTACAAAAACAGGAATAGAACTACCTTTGCAGCATAGGAAAATTCACAAGCCAAAACAAAAGATAACCTAATGCATTTCCTTGCCCTACTTACAATTTCTGTGGTTCTAGGTGGATTATTCCAGGTATATTTTCAGAAAATGATGTACCTGCTTGGCTTCTCCCTCTGTCTGGAGAGGGAACAACAAAAGAGAACAGCAAACAAATCCTTCCCCCCGAGATTTGAAAGTATCTTCTTTCCTCATGGTCCTTCTGGTCAGGTGCCAACTAGGTTATTTGAGCTTCTTAACCCCTTACAGGTAAGGCGATTCAGTACAGCTGCCAAGGAGGGATTTTATGCTACTGCATACATAAAGGTTGCTACCCTTCCCTCTATATTCATGACACAGGCACTGGAGAAACCTAGAGCTAGAGAAATGGCACAGCGCTCCTGCCGATCAGGTGACCTTTCCACAGCGGGCAACCTAAGGCTGAGGTGACCTGCGGAGATGTAGGGAAGGGATGTGGTGGGCTCAGGAGAAGGAGCAGGCTCAGGGCATGCAGTGGAGATCCCATGGCAGCTAGAGGAGGGAGGGGCTTTCAGGATAGACAAGGTGTGGGAGGTAAAAGCCTCATTTGTTTTGCCACCTTGTGACCTCCAGATTGTCCCAGTCGAGATGATAACTTACCAGTCCTGGGAGCCCTTCCTCCAGATGGGCCATCACAAGGGACAGTGGGCTGGGGGTTATTTGGGTTCCTCACGACGGGCTCTCTGGAAGTAGCTGAGCCATGCTAAGCTCTGTGTTCTTCTCCTTAAAGAAACCCAGCTCTCACACTCTGAGTCTGCCGGGTGGGAGCCAGGGGCTTATCACAGAGTTTAGTCACCATTGTGCCCCATCCTTTGATCCATCGCGGAGGGCCTGGATGGATTAACTTCCCAGCTGAGGCCACCTCTTTGCTCCTCACCACCTGCCCCCAGCTGGGGGTGGTGGGGATGTGATCATCCCAAACCCTCTCTCTGATGGCCATTCCCCCGCACTCCACCCCCACCGCCCCCCACAGTCTCTGGGAGCGGAGCTGGCTGCCAGGTGCAGGAGGAAAGGCTCCTTCCCCTTCCTAGGGCCCCTCTCTCAGGGTGATCTCGGTCAGCAGCCCAGTTTCTACAGGTGGCTGGGCTGTTTGGAGAGGCCCCGATGAACCGTGGGATGGGGCAGGGTCTGCAGTGACCCTGCTCCTCTCCTTTGGCTGGGCCTTTTACTCCCTGAGGGTTTCCTGCTGTGGTGGCCAGCAGGTCCCTGCCACGCTGGAGTGGGGGCAGCTCCGGGAGCCTCAGAGAAGTTCCCAGGACAGGATGATATGGGCAGCCTGGCCTCAGCCGTCCTGCATGGGCCATGCAGCCTGGCCGGCCCTTACCCTGGGCTGCCCCACGTGCCTCATCTACAGTCCCCCAGCCCTCAACCTACTGCTGGGACCCCCTTTGTGCCTGGTGCAGCCGCACAGCACCCCATGGCAGGGAGCGGCCTGGCGCAGCACGGACCCACAGGCCAGCCCTGGGTATGTTTCAGAACACGGGCCAGCTGCTATAAAGCCACGGCTCACCATGAAGGCGGAGCCACCCCTTGGGCTGGCAGAACAGGGGTGTAACTGGCCCAGGAGAGGGGAATTCCTCCCTGAGCCCCTAGGGACAGTTCAATAGGAGGGTTCCTGGTTGTCCTTGTCCCTCATGCCCATCCCCTCTTGAGTCTTAGGCCTGGGCTCAGCTCTGCTGCCAGTGTCTGGGTTGGCACAGCCCCATAGCACCCTGGCAAGGATCCCATGTCCCCTCCCTGCAGACAGCTCTCCCCATATGGCCCCTTGGGCCTAAAGGGCTGGGCCAGCCCCCTCTCCACTGGGGACCCACCCACCAACTGGCCTCCGAGCTCCTGCCTCCTCAAGGGCCAGTCAGCCCTGGCCTCTGCTCAGACCGCTCTCCCCAGCCCCATCCTACTGTCCCTGAGGCCCCGCTGCCTCCCCTAGCACTATGGGTCGCTACGCCTGCTCCCTTAGGACTCTCCCAGCAGCACCGCGCCATCCTCATGGCGATCAGGGGAGGTCCCGGATGACTGGAAAAAGGCTGATGTAGTGCCCAGCTTTAAAAAAGGGAAGAAGGAGGATCCTGGGAACTACAGGCCAGTCAGCCTCACTTCAGTCCCTGGAAAAATCATGGAGCAGGTCCTCAAGGAATCAATTCTGAAGCACTTAGAAGAGAGGAAAGTGATCAGGAACAGTCAGCATGGATTCACCAAGGGCAAGTCATGCCTGACTAACCTAATTGCCTTCTATGATGAGACAACTGGCTCAGTGGATGAGGGAAAAGCAGTGGACGTGTTATTCCTTGACTTTAGCAAAGCTTTTGACACGGTCTCCCACAGTATTCTTGCCAGCAAGTTAAAGAAGTATGGGCTGGATGAATGGACTATAAGGTGGATAGAAAGCTGGCTAGATTGTCGGGCTCAACGGGTAGTGATCAATGGTTCCATGTCTAGTTGGCAGCCAGTATCAAGTGGAGTGCCCCAAGGGTCGGTCCTGTGGCTGGTTTTGTTCAATATCTTCATTAATGATCTGGAGGATGGTGTGGATTGCACCCTCAGCAAGTTTGCCGATGACACTAAACTGGGAGGAGTGGTAGATACGCTGGAGGGGAGGGATAGGATACAGAGGGACCTAGACAAATTGGAGGATTGGGCCAAAAGAAATCTGAGAGGTTCAACAAGGACAAGTGCAGAGTCCTGCACTTAGGACGGAAGAATCCCATGCACCGCTACAGACTAGGGACCGAATGGCTAGGCAGCAGTTCTGCTGAAAAGGACCTAGGGGTTACAGTGGACGAGAAGCTGGATATGAGTCAACAGTGTGCCCTTGTTGCCAAGAAGACCAATGGCATTTTGGGATGTATATGTAGGGGCATTGCCAGCAGATCGAGGGACGTGATCATTCCCCTCTATTCGACATTGGTGAGGCCTCATCTGGAGTACTGTGTCTAGTTTTGGGCCCCACACTACAAGAAGGATGTGGAAAAATTGGAAAACGTCCAGAGGAGGGCAACAAAAAGGATTAGGGGACTGGAACACATGACTTATGAGGAGAGGCTGAGGGAACTGGGATTGTTTAGTCTGCAGAAGAGAAGAATGAGGGGGGATTTGATAGCTGCTTTCAACTACCTGAAAGGGGGTTCCAAAAAGGATGGATCTAGACTGTTCTCAGTGGTAGCAGATGACAGAAAGAGGAGTAATGGTCTCAAGTTGCAGTGGGGCAGGTTTAGGTTGGATATTAGGAAAAACTTTTTCACTAAGAGGGTGGTGAAACACTGGAATGCGTTACCTAGGGAGGTGGTAGAATCTCCTTCCTTAGAAGTTTTTAAGGTCAGGCTTGAGAAAGCCCTGGCTGGGATGATTTAGTTGGGGATTGTGCCTGCTTTGAGCAGGGGGTTGGACTAGATGACCTCCTGAGGTCCCTTCCAAGCCTGATATTCTATGATTCTATGATCCTCACTGGGCTGCTCTGCCTCCTGTTCTGCCCCCAGCCCCCAAGGGCTGCTCCTCCTGGCCACTGCTCTGCTGGGCTCGGCCAGCTGCAGCCTCCACCCTGCCCTCTCTCTCCTGTCTCCTTCTGCTCACTCTGGGTCACAGCCTGCTGTGACGAAGCAGGGAGGTTTCTGTTGTGTTCAACGGTTTGCATGTAGGGAGCATGGGACTCAGTTTCCCTGGGTGTTACTGGTTTAACAAGGTGGTGGGAGAGGGAGTTTGTTGTTACAGAGGGCCAAGCGAACGGCCTGGAGAATGTGTACCCCAGCAACTGGTGACCTGGTGACCGGGAGGCCCAGCTCAGGAGTCGTAGCCAGTTCTGGCCAGTGGGAGGACAATTGGCTGTGAAGAGAGGACCCTGGTGACCTGACCAGCTGGTTCCAGCCAGAGGGGAAACAAAGGATGGATGAGAGGAGAGGAGGCTCAGGGAGGCCTGTTTACATAGGACAGAAAACAAAGGACAGAGGCTGGACTTGGGGGACAGTGATATCGGATGCCCAGCTGGAAGCAGGGGGTCTTTGGGCTGGGAGGGGAGAGCAAGCAGAGCCCATCTGGAGGCTGTAGAAACCTAGACGTCCTGTGCTGAGGGAAGCTAGGCCTGAGGCCCTGAGAGTTTCCTGTGCTGTGTTCAGATGCTCAATAAACCCTCCTGTTTAATGCTGGCTGAGAGTCACTCCGGTCTAGAGAACAGGGTTGCATTATTCCCTCTGGGCATGGAGGCCCCAAGGGTCCAGAGCGAGTGGACTCCCTGGGGGGCCCATGGCAGAGACAGGCGTGCTAAGGCTCAGTAAGGTGTGGTTCCAGGAGGCAGAAGGGCCTATGGCTTGACCCACAAGAGAGAGTGGACCCCTGAGAAGGGCTGTCACACCAAAGGGGGTTCCTCCCAGAGACCATACAGAGCCGGGAGAGAGCACGAGTCCTGTGAGTCCGTGACACCTGCCCCTCTGTTGGCCAGACGCTGCCCTGTGCCTTCCTGCTCATCTCAATGTGATCCAGAGGGCAGGCAGCTGGCTCGTTCCCTCATACCCTGGAGATACCAGTGGTGCGTGTGTAACCCACTGGTGAGCGGTACGTCAGCTCCCCCTCAGGCCTATCCACAGCTGTCACGGCGCCCAGCTCCAGGCACTCACGGCTAGCTTGGGAGGGCGCCAGTTCAATCCCCGGTGTGTGGGCCAAGAGCATGGCTGTCACATAAGGATGGTGCAGGCCAAGGTGGCACTCAGACATAGCTGACAACCAGGCACCAGCCCTGCCCATCCTGGGAGACCCAGGCCCAGGATACCAGGACTGTCCACTTCCCCAGGAACCTCGAGGTCCCTTCCATGGCAGCAGAGGAAGGGAGAGGACGCATCAGATGGCAGCCCGTCGCTGCCGGAGCTAGTCCAGTTAATGAGGGGGGACAAAGGACAGAGCGGTCGGTCAGGGCCCAACGCACCAGCTTCGCTGGGCTGGGGGGACACCTGCTGCAGCAGGGATCCCTGGAGCCAGGCAGGGACGCGGGTGCAGGCGAAGAGGAGAGCTCCCAGGAGGCACAGAGCCAGGCTCACAGCTTGCCCTGGGTGTAGTCGTAATACTCTGCGGAGAGAGAGGGGAGGTGGTGACAGTGCAGCGAGGGGGCAGCCCGTGGCCCTGCCCTGCCCTCCTGGATGTCAGAGGGATGCAAGGCCAGAGGGACCCCAACGCCGGGCCCAGAGCCACCCAGCGAGGGCTGGGAGGGATTCGGCCTGGCCACGTGGACCGTGGGAGCAGAACCCAAGGGGAGCCGGCAGGGACGCCAGCAGGAAGGGTTGTGCTGCAGGGTTGTGCTGCAGGCTGGAGCTAATCTGCATTTACCGACCCCGCTCCTGGCCCTTGGGGCTGTTGCTTTTCGGATCCCTGACCCAGGGCTTGGCCCTTCAGCAGGGAAGGCGAGCGCTGTGTACATGGGCTGGCCCAATGGCGCGGGACCTGGGAGGGTTAAGGCCTGTGCTAGCAGCCGGGGTGATGCCGAGGCTGAAGGGGGAGATGGGCTGGGCCCCTCCAATCCCCATCAGGCTGGCGGGAGTCGTGAGGGGAAGGGGTGTGTCTGCAGCTGGAGGGGAGAGATGGCCACCTCTGCAGGTAGGAGCTATGCCAAGGGCAGGCTTGGGTGGGGAAGGGCGTCCTTACCAGTGGCCGGTGGGACGTCAGCTCCCACTGTCCCCGTGGCGCTGGGCGGCGGGGGCGGAGGGACCACTTTGCTGTGGAAACAAAGCGAGGGCAGGGAGTCAGCAGCGAAGGGGGCAGGAGGGAGCTCCCCATCCCCTGAAACAAGCCAAACCACCGCGGCCTGCAGCGGCTAGTGGAGGGAACAGTTCGGGAGTCCTGGAGGCAGAGAGCCGGGGCAGAGAAGACCCTCGGGCTCACACAGTAGGAAGGCCCTGTATCTAAAATCCCGCTCCTAAATCTCTCCCCCCACCCACGGCATAGCCCATCTCCCAGTGATGCTTCACCTGTCACCCCGGATGCTAGTTAGCACCCAGGGGCCCAGCTAGGCAAGGAGCCCTGTTGTGCCCGGAGCTGTGCGCGTGCCCACACACACACAGACACTGTTGTGTCAGGGTGCTGCCCACACACACACACAGAGTTGTGCCAGGTGCTCCACACACACACACACACACATGCACACACACAGAGTAAGAGCCACTCCCCGCCCCAAAGAGCTCACAGTGTGAACAGAGAAGGCGACGGGCAGGAGAGGGGAACGTTCCATCCCTGCGTTACCCAGGCACAGAGATGAAGTGACTACCCCAGCATTACCCCGGGAGTCTGTGTCAGGGCCAGGGATCGAACCTGGATCTCCTGAGTCCTAGCCCAGTGCCTAGCCACAAGGACATAAATGTCGAAGGTGCGGGTCTGGTTAATTACATCTTATAAAATTAGCTGCCCCCTGAGGCCCCAGGTCCCACTGTCCGGGTTCCCTGGCTGCTCTTCGTCACCCCTTGTGGCAAGGGCTGGGTGAAAACTGCTCAAGTAAACAGGAAGCCTGAAAATTGGGTTTCTGCCCCAATGAATGTGTTCATGGCACTCCCTGGGAAACTTCACATTTTTGTAAAAAACCGGAATGTCCCCAAACCAAACATTTCTCTTTGTCTGTCCCGCTGCAGTGGCTCATGGGAGCTGCAGTTCAGTTTCCACATGCCCCCATTCCCTTCTATGGGCCGGGCTACATCTCCCGCAATGTGCGGGGGGCCTCATGCACCCCTCTCTCCAGACAGGCCCCCTGCTAGTGCCCAGGCTGGGATTTTAATATGTACCTTGGAATGGCCCCTCCACCCCAGTCCTGTCTCCCACCTGCACCCCTCCCTGCCTCCACGGAAGGGACTGGCCCGGGGTCTGAGTGGGAGGAGGTGGAGGACCTGGTGAGTGCGGTCCATGGGATTCTAACCCGGTCAGAGGGGATGTAGTTAATTAAATGGGAGAATTTACTGGAATTCTTGAATTCCCTGCAGCTGGCTCCACCCATCTCCCACTTTGATGCAGCTAGGACCAGGACGTTTCCCACCTTCCCTGCTTGTTTGATAAACCCATCACCCCCCTTCTCTGCCCATGCACCAGCATCTCCTCCCTCTGCTGGCCTAGGCCCACCTCCCCAGCACTCAGCATCTGACTCCCTACGCCTCCTGTGGCTGGCTCCCCAGTGACAGAGCATTCTCATTACTCACTCCTCCCGAATCCTGCCTGCTGGGGCTGGGTGTGGGTCCAGGCCGACATGGCGTATGCTAGGGGGCTCCAGTGCCCATGCTGGAGGCTGTGCCAGGGGCTGCCATGGGGGGCTGGGAGTGGTGCTGGGGTATGGTGCGTAATGGTGGTGAAATACCACATCTGCTTCTTCATCTTCAGTGTGCAGAGGGACCAGGTTCACCTGCAGGGAAGGAATAAAAGGCTCCGTGGGGTGTCTCCTTACCCTTGGCCATGACCGCTACCCCTGGAGCTTTACCTGACCCTCGGTAACTGTGTTTAGAGAATTGTTTCCTAAGCCCACCAAGACACCCCCATGCTCACAGGCTCTGCAGCTCACAGCTGGGCTTGCCGGCTGCTCTTACAGCTTACGGCTGGTGACCCTGATCATAGAATCATAGGATCATAGAAGATTAGGGTTGAAAGAGACCTCAGTAAGTCATCAGGTCCAACCCACTGCTCAAAGCAGGACCAACCCCAACTAAATCATCCCAGCCAGGGCTTTGTCAAGCCAGGCCTTAAAAACTTCTAAGGAAGGAGATTCCACCACCTCCCTAGGTAACCCCAGTGCTTCACCACCCTCCCAGTGAAATAGTGTTTCCTAATATCCAGCCTAGACCTCCCCCACTGCAACTTGAGACCATTGCTCCTTGTTCTGTCATCTGCCACCACTGAGAACAGCTGAGCTGCATCCTCTCTGGAACCCTCTAGCTCAGTGGTTTGAACATTGGCCTGCTAAATCCAGGGTTGTGAGTTCAATCCTTGAGGGGGCCATTTAGGGATCGGGGCAAAAATTGGGGATTGGTCCTGCTTTGAGCAGGGGGTTGGACTAGATGACCTCCTGAAGTCCCTTCCAACCCTGATATTCTATGATTCTGGTAGTTGAAGGCTGCTATTAAATCCCCCCTCACTCTTCTCTTCTGAAGACTAGGGGCATGGCTACACTTGCAGATTATAGCTCTGTGAGTTAAACCAGCCCTCAGAGAGCGCTGTTGTGTGTTCACACTGACAGGAAAAAGCGCACTGGCATGGCCACAATTGCGGCACTTTCAGCGGCATTGGGAGTGGTGCATTATGGGCAGCTATCCCACAGAGGACCTCTTCCCATTCTGGCGCTGTGGCTTGTGGGAAGGGGGCAGGGAGCGCAGGGCATTCTGGGTCCTGTCCCAACGCCCCGTGATGCATCCCAGCAAACCCTGTGCTTCCATTCACATTTGGTGCCATCTTTCAATGTTTTTTGTACTGCGCGTGCTGTCTTCCTTTTCGGTCTGTGGGAATGGAGCCCAAAGTGCTGAGGAGTATGCTGATGGGTGTCACCAGCATGTCACGTCTGGCAGTCGAGTTACTCCTTAAGCTACAAACTGACAGTGAGGAGTCCAATGATGATGTCGACTCGCATAACGCATGTGACACGAGATTGCTTGTGGCATTCACAGACATGCTCACCGCAGCGGAATGCCGCTTTTGGGCTCGGGAAACAAGCACTGAATGGTGGGATCACATTGTCATGCAAGTCTGGGATGATGAGCAGTGGCTGCAGAACTTTCGGATCAGAAAAGTCACTTTCATGGGACTGTGTGATGAGCTCGGCCCCACCCTGTGGTGCAAGGACACGAGATTGAGAGCTGCCCTGCTGGTGGAGAAGCGGGTGGCTATTGCAATCTGGAAGTTGGCAACTCCGGACAGCTACCGATGGGTTGCTAACCAGTTCTGAGTGTGAAACGCGACCGCTGGAATCATGTTGATGCAAGTTTGCAGGGCCATTAATCACATCCTGCTCAGAAGAACCGTGACTCTATGTAACGTGCATGACATTGTGGCTGGCTTTCCACAAATGGGTTTCCCTAACTGCAGAGGGGTGATAGATGGGACGCATATTCCAATTCTGGCACCAGCCCACCTAGCCTCCGAGTACATTAATCGGAAGGGATATTTCTCTATGGTTCTCCAGGTGCTTGTGCATCACCGTGGGCATTTCACTGACATTAATGCAGGCTGGCCTAGAAAGGTGCATGACACACACATCTTTCGGAACACTGGCCTGTTCTTCCCAGACCAGATTACCATGGGGGAAGTTGAAATGCCCATTGTGATCCTTGGAGACCTCACTTACCTTTTAATGCTGTGGCTTATGAAACCCTATACAGGGAGCCTTGACAGCAGCAAGGAGCGATTCAACAACAGGCTGAGTCTGCAGAATTGGGTGCACAATGACTGTGGAGTGTGCTTTTGGCCATTTAAAGGGCTGCTGGCACTGTCTGTATGGGAAGCTAGACCTGGCCGATGACAACATCCCCACGGTTATATCCGCGTGCTGTACCCTCCATAGCACTTGTTAAGGGAAGGGTGAAAGATTCACTCGGGCATGGACCTTGGAGTTTTAACACCTGGAGGCTGAATTTGAGCAGCCAGAGAGCAGGGTTATTAGAGGGGCCCAGCGCAGGGCTGCAAGGATTAGGGATGCCTTGAGGGAGCAATTTGAGGCTGAAAGCCACCAGTAATGTCTGGTGCCCTGCACGGGAGTGAAGTGCAGTGGTTTCAATGTTAGTAGGAATCTGTGTTTGCTACACTGACTTGCGGTGCCTGTTGCTTTCCTGGGCTAAGGTATCTTTTACTTTATGCAATAATAAAGAATGTTTTCAAAGCCAAAATATCCATTTATTGAAAAGAAAAAATTCATTTATTGAAAAGAAACACAACTGCTTGGGAAACAGGAAGGGCAAGGGGGTGGGGTGGGGAATGGTTCAATCACAGATTTGCGTATGTCCTGTTCTCATACTCAGCCTTCCTGTCTGGAGTGCTGTGCAATGAGGGCTGGCTCTACTGCATGGTGATGGGGGCTGAGCGCGGTGGGTCGAGGTCGTAGTTTGCAGGGCTGGGTGGTGAAGCTCCAGGTGTTGGAAGCAGCTGGTGGCGATAAGAACCCAGATGTTGGGGAAAGTGGGTTGGAGGTGATATGGGGGCACAAGGGAAAGAGTTTTGGGACAAGGGCTGTGTGCGGGGGTACGGTAGTGCTTCGCCTGCATTGCTACGAGCGCCTGGATCGAGTCCGCTTGGCGCTCCATGATGCTTAGCAGGTGCTCTGTGCTTTGGTGCTGGCGATCCGCATTCTGCCGGCGGACCCTCCTTTCACTCTCCTGCCACTCCTGTGCTTTTTGATTTTCATTAAGGGATTGCTGCATTACTTCATGCAGCATGTCCTCTTTTCTTCTACGTGGCCGCTTCCTAATTCTTTGGAGTCTTTCAGCTGTTGATAACAAGGATGGCTGAGATCTCAAGGTTGCATCTGTAAAGCCAAAATGCAACACTTAACAGATGCAGCATTGTTCACACCAGACAGAGCAATGATTCAGCCATACTTAAACTAGACAAGCACAGTCTACACAATAGCAGAAATTGCCCATCCCAAAGCGAGCACACATAACCCACGGGAGCCCCAAAATGGTGGCATGGACATGTTAGCCTGACTGGGACAAGGAGTACAGTAGCGCTCCCAAGGAACCTGCGCAAGTGGATTGCCCAGCTTCTGCCTGAGACCTTTGAAGAGATCACTGAGGCCGATTACTGAGCACATCAACGCCCTATTCTGCATCTAGGCATGCATGCAGCCCTAACCCTCCTTGCCCCAAGAGCCCACACTGAACAACTTCCTTCCCAAAATAAAAGCCACTTACCGGGCATGTCCTCTGGTGTTTGTCCTTCCTCAAGCACCGGCCGCTGCGACTGGCTACCTTCCTCCTGGCTTGAGAACAGCTCCTGACTGCATGCACCTAGGGATGCTGGGCTGTTCCCCTCCTCCTCAGCACCCTCGCTCCCGCTTTCCTCCTCCTCCTGCCTTGTTGAACTGGGCTCTGAAATGTCCATGGTGGTACTCAGAGTGGAGGTGGAGTCGCCCCCAAGTATTGCATCCAGCTCTTTGTAGAAACGGCAGGTCGCGGGGGCAGCACCGGAGTGGCAGTTTGCCTTGCAGGCTTTGCGGTAGGCATTCTGAGGGCAGGGCAGTAGAGTTCAAAGTGATGACCAGAGTGGCCAGAACAGGCATTGTGGGACACTTCTGGAGGCTGATCAGAGCTCACTAACAGACCAGGGTGTCCACACTGGTGTCACGGCACTCCAGCCGGGGAGCATCAAGCGTTATGCTTCTCGTTGAGGTGGATTATTACCAGGAGCGCTCCAGACGCAGAGTCCAGGTGCTCTACGTGCCTTGCCAGTATGCACGCATCATGAGTTAGGGCGCCCGGGGCTGCTTTAATGCACTCTAACTCCCAAGTGTAGCCATGCCCTTAGATTATTCCAGGGAAAGAATTTTAAAATCTTATTTACATTCCGCTGCTAGGACAGGGGCTTACTCACCTTCTGCACCTAGGTCAGTGGCTCAGGCAGTGAACTCAGGTCAAGTTCTAGTCAATATTTCTGTGACGCTGACAGATTAGGGGCCAGCTCTTGCCAAAGCCCCAGGCCTCACTGAACGCTTACAAATGCATGGCTGGAAGCCATGCCAATTCCCTTGTGTATTAGTATAGATCAAAGTGGTTGTTAAATGTAGAAGAGTGTTTAAACTTCACGAAAACTAATGGGATGTTACATGCATGGTTTTTACTACTCTTTAGCCTGTTATAATGTAGCAAACATTCACATTGTGTTACCCCGTAAGTAAATAACCCACTAAACGAGAAAGAAGCCTTGTGGCATGCAAATGACAAACTTTAACAGGAAAGTGCTAATTTCAAAGCAAGCGGTCATTGCGTGTGTGATGATTGGAGGTCAAAGACTCTAAATGCATTCCTCAGTCTCCGTCCTCAAAGGAAAAGCCCAAATGGGTAGTGACCCCGGCAGCCTGCTTTCTGTGAGAAGAAGCTATAAGTGTGGATTCACAGGGAATCCTTCATCTCTGGACTGTTTGGATCCTAACAGGGCAGAATAACTGAACGAGAAGACGGAAATCCCCAGAGTTATTCTGTGTAGCCCTGAGAGACTTTTGGGAAACTAGCAGACTACTACATCTCTGCCACCATTTGGAATTACAGACTGTGACTTACCTGTACATATATTGTACCTGCTTTAACCTCTCAATAACTCTCATTCCTTTCTCTTAGCTAATAAACCTTTAGTTACTTTACTATAGAATTGGCCACAGGCATTGTCTTTGGTGTAAGATCTAGGGTACCAATTGATCTGAGGTAAGTGACTGGGCTCTCGGGACTGGAAGCAACCTGAACGTGGTGTGATGTTTGGTATAAGTGACCATTTATCCCAAAGCCCAGTTTGTCGGGGTGGCAAGATAGAGTGGAGAATCCAAGGGGACTATCTGTGACTCCATGGTCAGAATGGGATAGTGATCTAGGAGTACACATTTGTTACTGGCTTGGTGAAATCTAATTAGAAACCACACCACCAGCTGGGGGCGTCTGCGCTTGTCTGTGACAGTCTGCCCTGAGGCAGGAACTCACGGTGGTGGGCTACTCCAGACAGCGTGACAGTCTCGTCCTCGTCAGGCAGACACACATACCTGGGCAGCAGCGGGAGCTGGGTTGAATCCAAAGGATGTCAGTGCGGCCATCGTCATGTTGTTCATGATCACCTGATGCATTTGGGCATTTTGTATCATCATGAACTCTATCAGATCTGCCAGGGGGAAAGAACAACCCCTCACTATAGAGCTGGGTGAGAATGAGCGAGCAAAGCCATTCAGCTCAGAGTAACAGTCAGTTCGACTGACTAATGCCAAGCTATTTGCTGGCTGTTGTGCACGGAGCTCCGAGAAGATCGATAAGAGGCTGTTAATCGTATCTTAGGGGACACGGCCATAACTTTGCTGTGTCAGGAATTCCTGTAGCTGGTTTCAAGAATTGGAGCAGTCTGACCTGATGTCAGCTGTGACCTCATAAGAGCATGAAGCAAGATGCTTGGAAACAGTTAACCCGGCTGTGTGATGCTTCCTGGGGATGACCAGGGTTGAGAGGCACCTCGCTACCACCTGCTCCTAGCGTGAGGCTCGTCTGTGCCTCCCAGGGGTCAGCTCCCCACCTCCACCAGCAATGGGCAACACAAGCCCTTTTCTCTCAGCCTGCCCACTCTGCTGGTTAGCAACAGGCACGCGCCCAGCCCCAAGCATCCCCCTGGAGTGTCCAGCCCCCGTTTCACTGGCCACTTGCAAAATTCCCAGGTCCGCTGTTCCCAAAGGACCAGCACCCCGGATTACCAGAGACACCACGGGACCACCGCTCCGCTCAGGTCACAGCACTGATTCATGGTGGAACCAAGTGTAAGCTTACTGAACAGAGATTCAAGTAATAGTAAGTGGGTAGAAGCAGTGATGAGCTGCCAAAATCTTAACAACCGGTTCCCTCCTCACCCCACGAGGGGATCGTGGCCCCGCCCCGGGACCCCTGCCCTATCCACCCCCCTCTGCTGTCTCTTGACTGCCCCCAGAACCGGGCAGGAGGGTCTCGTGGGCCATCGTAGTGGGTGTTCACCCCGCCCCGCCCCTAAGAGCCAGAGGGACCTGCCGGGGGGGCAAGGTGGGAAGTCCCAGCGGTGCTTACCTGAGGCAGCTCCTGGGAAGTATCCGGCAGGTCCCTCTGGCTCCTAGGGGTAGGGTAGCAAAGTTAGGGGGGTAGCAGGGGGAGCAGCTGCTCCCCGCACTGATCACATCAAAAATGGCACCTTAGGAGCCAACTCCATGGGTGCTCCGGGGCTGGAGCACTGAAGGGGAAAATTTTGTGGGTGCAGAGCACCCACTGGCAGCTCCCCGCCCCGCGCCTGGCCCCAGCTCACCTCCACTCCGTCTCCTCCCCTGAACGCCCTCCCCGCCCTCCCCCCAGCTTCCTGCGCCTGGGAGGGCTGAGAAGCAATCAGCGGCTTCCTGCTCAGGCCCAGGGAGGCGGAGGTGAGCTGGGGTGGTGAGCGGTTCCCTGCGTGCCCTCGCCCCCCAGGTTACCTGCTGCGGCGCGAGCGGCTCTCCTTGTGTCCCCCCGCCCCAACTCACCTCCACTCTGCCTCCGCTTCTCCGTGCAAAGCCGCCGCTTGATTCTCAGCCCTCCCAGGCTTCCGACACGAACAGCTGATTCGCAGGAAGCCGGGGGGAGGGCGGAGAAGCAGAGCGGGGCAGAGCGTAACTCAGGGGCAGAGGCGAGCTGGGGACGGGGACGAGGACAGGGACGGGAAGGGGAGCTGCTGGTGGGTGCTCTGCACCCACCAAATTTTCCCTGTGGGTACTCCAGCCCCGGAGCACCCATGGGGTCAGTGCCTAAGGCACCATTTTTGGCTGGTTGTTAAATTTAGAAGCCTTTTTAGAACCGGTTCTAAAAGGGTTTCTAAATTTAACAACCGGTTCCAGCGAACTAGTGCGAACTGGCTCCAGCTCACCCCCGGGTAGAAGTTTTGGAAACAACTGGTTCCAACTTTTAAAAAAAGTCATACCATGCCTTCTAGAGCTTAGACTTACCTAGCAAGCCATTCCCCTGTCTCATACAGATTAGCTCAACCAGACTCTTCCTCCTAGAGGTTAACAGACAGGCTGGCCCTGGCCCTCCATTCTGAAGACATGCATGCTGGCTGCTTGTCCGCTAGGTAGGTACTGGGTGTCTCTCTTCATTCTCCAGAGATACCAGACTAAGGGCTTGTCTACACTTGAAATGCTACAGCGGCACAGCTCCGCCTCTAATGGTCTGGTGTAGACACTACCTGCAGCGATGGGAGGAGTTCTCCTGTTGGCATAGGGGAGCCACCGCCCCAAGAGATGGCCACTAGGGCCTTGTCTACACTACACAGTTTCGTTGACGCAAGTTACGCCGACAATCAAAAAATGGTGTAATGACATCGCTTGTGCATGTTCGTACGGGGCTCCTTCTGTCGGTGGAGCATGTCCACAGTTGGTGCTCTAGCATCGACAGAGAGAGCAGTGCACTGTGGGTAGCTATCCCACGGTGCTACTCGCCACCTACTCGCTGGGAAGACGCGAGGTGAGCTGTCCTCGCCGAGCAAACAGGAAGTGGAATTTCCAGAATTCTCGGACCTTTAAAGGGGGAGGGGTGAATGCCTGCTACCTGGGTGCAGGGCAGTGGAGTTTGAACTGCTGACCAGAGCGGTCAGGATGGGCATTGTGGGACACCTCCTGGAGACCATGTACAGTGACATAGCCAAGCACGGTGTCTACACGCTAACACACTGTGCTGAAAAAAGCTCTATGCTTCTCATCAAGGTGGTTTTATTTTGTCGGCAAAGCAGGAGAGTTCTGTCGGAAGGACCAGTGCAGTGTGTACACCTCCACTGTTTTGTCGATGAAACCTGACTTTTGTCAATAAAACTGTGTAGTGTAGACAAGGCCTAGGTCAAGAGAAGAATTCTTCCATCAACCTAGAACTGCCTACACTGGGGGGTTAGGTTGGCTTACCTACACCACTCAGGGGTGTGGAGTTTTCACACCCCTGAGTGACAGAGTTAAGACGACTTAATTGTCTAGCGTAGACCAGGCCAAATTCTTTGATCTTAGTCATAAACAGGACAACCCCCAGCTGTGTGTTCCTTTCTGCAGATCTCTCCTTGACTAGACAATCTTGATTAGCTCATGGCACCGTATGCGGATTGACTTACATTGTAAGACACTCAATGATCAGCCAGGGAGAGAGAGAAGCCGCTCCTACCCCCTGCCTGAACCGAATCTGTTTATCACCTTCAAGTGACCTGTCTGAACTTACACATCTTCAGAGCATAGTTTTCAGTGTGGTGACATAACTCCTTAAATATCACCCATACCTACATCTCCCAGTGACTAGGATGACCAGTGCTTTACTGGCTGTTGGTAGAGACTTCCGTGCCATGCTTTGCCGCACTGAGGTGTAGGCATTAGACCCAAGGGATCCCTGTAAACCTCTAGGCACCCTCTATGCCTGCTACAAGTTGACACCAAGTGGGCTCTGGGTCACGAGTACCTGCTTTAAAAGGAAAAGGAGTACTTGTGGCACCTTAGAGACTAACCAATTTATTTGAGCATGAGCTTTCGTGAGCCACAGCTCACTTCATCAGATGAAGTGAGCTGTGGCTCACGAAAGCTCATGCTCAAATAAATTGGTTAGTCTCTAAGGTGCCACAAGTACTCCTTTTCTTTTTGCGAATACAGACTAACACGGCTGTTCCTCTGAAACCTGCTTTAAAAGGGATGATGTGCCCTGTTTGGTTTCTTTCGAATTGATAAAGATATCCATTTAAACCATTGTTCTGGTTGGTTTTTAGCATGAGAATTTCAGCCGCAGTATTGTTAGTGTTGCTGAACTTGCAGGGAAGGTTTTATGTTTCACAGTCTCCTACCTTCTCGGACGTGTCCTGGCCTTACGGGCTGAGTGAAAGGAGACAGGATCCCAGGGATCTGCTGAAATACTGTCATTGGCTGTTGGGGAATCTAGAAAACAATGCAGAGAGCAACTAATCTGAGAGGGCTGTGGGGGGCGATTGGGGGGAGGAAGGACTGGGAGCGGGGGGGAATTGGGGAGAGGCAGCTGTGGGGGTGAAGGGGCCACACCCCACCCCTCTGGAGGGTGAGCCACATGTGGGGTGCAGAGCCAGCCTGCTGCAGCCCGCCAGCACAGGCATATCTGGGAGGTCTCAGCACGGGGCAGCCCTCGATGATCCTCTGCCCTCACGGGTGAGGGCTCCGGACAGGGCCTCGCACCCGGCAGAGCCAGGAGCAGTCGGGGGGGAATCTCACAAGGAGGCCTAGTCCCAGCCCAAACCGCCACCCCAACCCTCCTCATCCCACCTCACCCCAACCTCCCTCGCCCCAATCCCACCCAACTCCCAGCCTCCCCTCACCCCAACCCCCCCTCATCCCACCTCACCCCAACCTCCCCTTGCCCCATCCGCCCTCACCCCAATCCCACCCAACTCCCAGCCTCCCCTCACCCCAACCCCCCCTCATCCCACCTCACCCCAACCTCCCCTTGCCCCATCCGCCCTCACCCCAATCCCACCCAACTCCCAGCCTCACCTCACCCCAAACCCCCATCATCCCACCTCACCCCAACCTCCCCTCACCCCATCCCCCCCTTGCCCCAATCCCACCCAACTCCCAGCCTCCCCTCACCCCAACCCCCCCTCATCCAAAACTCCCTCGCCCCAATCCCACCCAACTCCCAGCCTCATCTCACCCCAACCCCCATCATCCCACCTCACCCCAACCTCCCCTCACCCCATCCCCCCTCGCCCCAATCCCACCCAACTCCCAGCCTCATCTCACCCCAACCCCCATCATCCCACCTCACCCCAACCTCCCCTCACCCCATCCCCCCCTCGCCCCAATCCCACCCAACTCCCAGCCTCATCTCACCCCAACCCCCATCATCCCACCTCACCCCAACCTCCCCTCACCCCATCCCCCCTCGCCCCAATCCCACCCAACTCCCAGCCTCACCTCACCCCAACCCCCCATCATCCCACCTCACCCCAACCTCCCCTCACCCCAAACTCCCTCGCCCCAATCCCACCCAACTCCCAGCCTCATCTCACCCCAACCCCCATCATCCCACCTCACCCCAACCTCCCCTCACCCCATCCCCCCTCGCCCCATCCCACACAACTCCCAGCCTCACCTCACCCCAACCCCCCTCATTCCACCCCAACCCCACCCAACTTCCAGCCTCACCTCACCCCAACCCCCCTCACCCCAACTCCACCCAACTTCCAGCCTCACCTCACCCCAACCTCCCCTCACCCCACCTCACCCCAACCTCCCCTACCCCAATCCCACACAACTTCCAGCCTCATCTCGCCCCAACCCCCCTCATCCCACCTCAGCCCCTCCCCTCACCCCAACCTCCCCTCACCCCAATCCCACCCAACTCTCAGCCTCACCTCACCCCAACCCCCCTCATCCCACCTCACCCCAACCCCACCCAACTTCCAGCCTCACCTCACCCCACCTCACCCCAACCTCCCCTCACCCCAATCCCACCCAACTCTCAGCCTCACCTCACCCCAACCCCCCTCATCCCACCTCACCCCAACCCCACCCAACTTCCAGCCTCACCTCACCCCAACCCCCCTCACCCCAACTCCACCCAACTTCCAGCCTCACCTCACCCCAACCTCCCCTCACCCCACCTCACCCCAACCTCCCCTCACCCCAATCCCACACAACTTCCAGCCTCACCTCACCCCAACCCCACTCATCCCACCTCACCCCCCCCAACTCCCAGCCTCATCCCCCCTCTCCCCAATCCCAACCACCCCTCACCCCAACCCCACATTCCTACCTGGGGTTACCACCTGGCTGGTATTTGACTGGCCTGGCTGGTTTTTTATGGATTTGCAGTTGACAGAAAAATAATTTAATCTGCTGGGGTTTTTTCACGTGGGTCTGAAGAGTTGTGTTATTGTCACACCGCACTGGGCTAGCTAAAGCTCAAAGTGTCTGTGGCTGGCGAGAGATGCTGCAGCGTTCCCATGCCACGGTTTAAGCAATAACAGGTCAAAAGTACTGAAGATACAGCCACTGTCTGCCCACCACCACACAAGTGCACCGCAGGTGTGCGAGAGAGGGTTTGAGTCACAAGAGTGAGGAGACCTGCGCGGTCACCCACCTTCTCTATGTATGTTCTCTCACTAGACACTATAAAGTGGCTTGGGGAGGGGGGGTTGCAGAGTTGCTTTGTGGGGGTGGGCGCCAGTGTTTGTACATTTCAAAGGTGGTACTCTACTCCCACCCTCACCTCACTCCAGCGCCTCCCACTCCTGACCTGGGCTCCCCCAGCCTGCTCACTCCCATCCCAACTCGCCAACCCCCGCACCTCATCCCAGTCCCTCCCCTGATTACCCTGTCTCACCCTAGTCTCCTCCCCAGCCCTGGCCCCATCAGAGAGCCCAGGACACTAGGTCTCCTGGGGGCGGACACTGTCACCAGCAGTCCTGGCAGAGGGGTGGAGGAACAGCCAGAAACGCAGTGCCCTGACCATCTCTCACCGTGGCAAAGGGAAGCCCAGCCTGAGAAATCAAGACCTGGCTGCCCCATAGCTGCCGCGTCCCTGGGGCCAGGCAGTGCCAGCCATGCATGAGCAACTCAGCAAGACCTTAATCTGCGGCTCGGTCTCCAGGATTTACCTACCGGCTGTTGGATGATCTGTACTCGTGGTGGAGTCTCCCCCCAGGCCTCAGCTGCCCCCAAATACATGGTGAAGATGCAGCCCCCGTCTGGAAGGAGCTTGCCAGTGAGGGCTGGATGGGAGCAGCCCTCCAGGGAGCAGGAAAACAGTAGCTGGCCAGTACAGCTCGTTGCTATAGATGCCGTGTGCAAACAAACCCGCTCCAGAGGCTGAGAAGGCGTCTCAGCAGGGCTCTCCCAGTGCATTGTGTCCCCAGAAACATAGGCCCTGGCTCTGGAGAACCCCTGCACTGAAATGAAGCAGGCACACTCAAGGGGCTGAGTTAAGGGTGCAGCCTTCACTCTGGCATTCCTAGCCTTAGAGGGCACAAGCATGTAGCCCCATCATCCTGCTAGGGCTGGAGGGTGATCCTGATATGAGGAAACACTCACCAGCATGAGGCAGGGGTTCACATTCTGGCTCCGGGTCACATCCCTGCGCCTGCAAGGTTAGCCACGCACCAGCAATGGTGCGGTCACCCTGAACTTTGGGAAGAAAGGCTCAAAAGCCAGGCCACGTATCCGCAAACCCAAAAAGTGACCGAAAAGAGAGATTTCAGAGGCCGAGCTACGACTAAAGCAGAACAATCACCCAGCTCCCACTGTGTTCCAGGGACCAGCACCTCCTAGTATCAAAGGAGGGTCAGATTTGTAAAGGTACCAGGCACTGAAGATGCGCTTGGTGGGATTTTCCAAAGCTCCTGGGCTACTAAGACAGAAAGGCAGCATGGTCCAGTGGCTAGTGCACTAGGCCTTGTGAGACCTGGGTTCAGTTCCCAGCTGTGCTACACACTTCCCGTGTGACCATGGGCATCTCTGGTTCTCTGCTCCCAGGGGGCTCCTAGCCCTGCCCTGCTTAACAGGGGGGTTGGGAGAGTAAATACATTAAAGATTGGGATGGTCAGTTGCTGTAGTGAAGGGGGCTAGATAAGGACCTAAGACAGAGTCAAGGTCAAACAAGTCATTGGCTTACAAGGGACCAGCAAAGACAGAGTCTGTCAAGTTCTAGTTAGTGCTCTAACCACTGGCCATCCTGTCCCTCTGATTCTAGGACACTTTGCCTTGGGGAGCTCCTATAAGGCACAAAGGAAAGGAGAGGTGTCTGCAAAGCCACGAAGCTGCCCCGGAGTGAAAAGGGGTCATACAGAGCAGCTGACACCCTGCTAAGAAAGGCGGAAGGCTGGATGGAGTGGAAGGTGTCGGTAAGCGCAAGCTGGGGATCTACCGCAGCTGGGAAGAGGGAAGTCTGTTAAGCGATTTCTCAAGAGGATGATTTTGTCAGGGCCTTTCATATTTGGATCTGTCTCTTTCCCTTTAGAGTGGGAGCCTCTGCTCCTCCCACTTAGCCCCCCCGCTTGACCGGAGCCCCCCCCCCCCCCCCCCCCCAAGGATCAAAGGCTCTAAGGGTGTTGTTCTCTCCTTACAAAGAGACGCTTTCACGAGGCCTGAGATAATAGTGAGCTAATGGAAGCCCTTTCAAGTGCCACACTTCCAGGTGCAAAGCGTTCGGGGAAGGGAGCAGTGAGCTGCGACTGACCTGGTGGGAGGAACTGAGCGTGTGAAAGCTCCTTGCACACTCGTGCATTCCAACTTCATAGCACTGGCCTGGGGAACCTGCCCCTAGGGATTCAGTCACGCCCTGGGGCTGTGCATGGGTGTAATTCCATTGGCATCCATGCAGCTCCTCCCCAGGGCAGCAGCACTTCATTGTGTCAGGCTTGCTGCACCCTTCCCAACTGGGGAGCAGGGGGTTGGAAAGGAGGGAGGGGAAGGGTCTTCTCCAGTTGGTTCCTTGACCCCAATCTGACCTGAGGCCCCGTACTAAAGAGGCATCCTCTCTCCAGCCTTCTGGGGTGGGAAGCACCAGCGTCCACTCCTTCTGTAATGGGGATCTGGCCACATACCTTGCATAAAGTACAGTCCAGGGATCCCCTCCCCACATGGGCAGCATCAGCTCCCTGCAGTCGGAGTCTATGGCACATCTATTCTCTGTGCTTCTCGGAGGTGAGAGCTCCACCTGGCCTTTTCCTGCATGATGCTTCCAGCCAGGACGCTGGTCTATTAGCTGTATTTTTCCAAGCAAATTTGCCTTTTGTTACTATTCTCATAGATTTTTAAAGCTAGAAGGAATCACTGTGATAATCCAGGCTGCTGTTCTGTGTAGCACAGGCCTGAAAACCTCACCCAGGGATTCCTGACTCAAGTCCATAACTTCTGGTTGAGCTTGAGAGTATCTTTTTGAAAGAGACACCAGCTTATGATGGTCCCTTCTGGCCTTCAAGTCTATGAATCTCTGAGTCTTGATTTAAAGATGGCAAGTAATGGAGAATACACAATGTTCCTGGGTATGCTGTTCCAATGGGTAAGTACCCTCCATGTGAAAAATGTACAACTTATTTCGATTCTGAAATAGTCGAGCTTCATCTTCCAGCCACTGAATCTCATTCTGCTTTTTTTCCCCCTGCTAGATTAAATTTTCTCTCCATGTTTCTAATTTCTCCAGGCCCTTCTGGATTATTGCTCTGCCCTCGCTGGCTTTAGCTATAACTCCCAATTGAGTATTATTTTCACATTTAATTATCAGGCTGATCGCACCCTGTATCCGGCAGAGCCCAACCTGCCTGCTATGAACGGAGCCTGCTATATAAATCTTGGTGGTTAACATGCTTTACTCTGGAGTAACAATTTGCCTGCAAAAAGGTTTGCTTCCATTTGCATGGTAATGAAACATTCCGGTAGAGGCATTGGAGGCAGTCAAGAGAGAGCTAATTCGGGTCACCTATGATGACATGGTGGCCACAACTCTTAGGAGAAAAGTACTTGCTGGAAGTTTGATGAGATGCCCACCAGGAATGGGCAGGGAACCGGCTGTGTGTATGAAAGCGAACCTCCTCAATGCGGCTTTGGGAATAAGCTGTGACACTGGGTATTGGCTCACAAGCAAAGATGTTTGCAGTGATGTTGTAGCCGGGTCAGTCCCAGGATATTATAGAGACAAGGTGGGGGAAGGAATGTCTTTTATTGGACCAACTTCTGTGGGTGGAAGGGACAAGCTGTCTAGATTCACAGAGCTCTTCCTCAGGTCTTCTTGCCAGCCCTCGTAGGCGCCTCATCCATGCTGACTGTTACTCATCGCTTTACTATCTTCTAGATGTTGGCAAATTGATTGCTTCATTATTTGCTTCATTATCTTTCCGGGTACAGAAGTTAGGCTGACTGGTCTGTAATTCCCGGGATTGTCCTTATTTCCCTTTTTATAGATTGGAAAAGGGCAAATATATTGCCAGTCTTCTGGAATCTCTCCCGTCTTCCATGACTTTTCAAAGATAATCGCGAATGGCTCAGATATCTCCTCAGTCAGCTCCTTGAATATTCTAGGATGCATTTCATCAGGCCCTGGTGACTTGAAGACCTCTAACTTGTCTAAGTAATTTTTAACTTGTTCTTTTCCTATTTTAGCCTCTGATCCTACCTCATTTTCACTGGCATTCACTATGTTAGACGTCCAATCACCACTAACCTTCATGGTGAAAACCGAAACAAAGAAGTCAGTAAGCACCTCTGCCATTTCCACATTTTCTGTTATTGTTTCCACACACTCCCCCCACTGAGTAACGGTCCTACCCTGTCCTTGGTCTTCCTGTTGCTTCTAATGCAAGTTTGATCTCGTTTTGTGTCTTGGCCTTTTTAATTTTGTCCCTACATACGTGTGTTATTTGTTTATATTCATCCTTTGTAATTTGACCTAGTTTCCACTCTTTGAAGGACTTTTTTTTTTGACTTTTAGATCATTGAAGATCTCCTGGGTAAGCCAGGGTGATCTCTGGCCATATTTGCTATCTTTCCTATGCAGTGGGATAGTTTCCTCTTGTGCCCTTAGTAATGTCTCTTTGAAAAACTGTCAGCTGTCTTCAGTTGTTTTCCCCTTAGATTTGCTTCCCATGGGATCTTACCTACCAACTCCCCGAGTCTGCTAAAGTCTGCCTTCTTGAAACCCACTGTCTTTATTTTGCTGTTCTCTCTCCTACTATTCCTTACAATCATGAACTCTATCATTTCATGATCACTTTCACTCAAGCTACCATCCACTTTCAAATTCTCAACCAGATCCTCCCTATTTGTCAAAATCAAATCTAGACCAGCCTCCACCTAGTAGCTTTCTCCACCTTCTGAAATAAAAAGTTGTCTCCAATACATTCCAGGAAGTTGTTGGATAATCTGTGCCCTGCGGCATTATTGTCCCAACAGATGTCTGAGTAGTTGAAGTCCCCCATCACCACCAAGTCCTGGCATTGGATGATTTTGTTAGTTGTTTAAAGAAAGCCTCATCCACCTCTTCTTCCTGGTTAGGTGGTCTGTAGTAGACCCCTACCATGACATCACCCTTGTTTTTTACCCCTTTTATCCTTACCCAGAGACTTTCAACAAGTCTGTCTCCTATTTCCATCTCAACCTCAGTCCAAGTGCATCCATTTTAATATATAAGGCAACACCTCCCTTTTTCCCCTGCCTGTCCTTCCTGAGCAAGCTGTACCCTTCTCTACCAATATTCCAGTCATGCGTATTATTCCACTAAGTCTCTGTGATGCCAATTATGTCATAGTTGTGTTTATTTACCAGCATTTTGAGTTCTTCCTGCTTATTCCCCATACTTCTTGCATTAGCATACAGACATCTAAGATACTGATTTGATTCCCCACCTAGTTCTGTCTTGTCTCTCCCTTATCCCTGCTATACAAGCCCATTCTCCCCCCAAATTCCAACCCTTCTCCCAGGTCTCCATGTTTTTTACTTACCTGTGGGCTTTGGTCACCTGCCCCCTTCAAACCTAGTTTAAAGCCCTCCTCACTAGGTTAGCTAGTCTGTATCCAAATATGTTCTTCCCCTTCCTTGATAGATGGACCCCATCTCTGCTAGGCAGTCCTTCTTGCTGGAATAGCATCCCATGGTTAAGGAAGCCGAAGCCCTCCTGGCAACACCATCCTCGCAGCCAGACATTCACCTCCAGGATGCGTCTGTCTCTGTCTGGGCTCCTACCCTTGACCAGAAGGATTGAAGAGAACACCACCAGAACTCCCAACTCCTTCACCCTTATCCCAGAGCCCTGTGATCCCTTCTGCCTGCAGAGGGTCATACCTCACAGTATCATTAGTGCCCACTGTTAGGGGGGCTTATTCCTTCACCCACTTCCTTCCCTGGTCCTTCTCGCATGAACAAAGAGCAACAATACCCGAAGTCCAAAGGTGCAAACAATTCGATGTTTATTGGGGTGAACTTCCAGCAAGCATGATTCCAGTTTCCTTCCTTAGTATCCTCCTTCCCAGCTCTGACACCACAGAGCCTTACACCTGTGTCCCTGTTCCCATTCCTGCCCTTAGCAAAACATGATTCCAATTTCCTTACCCCCATTCCCTGTTCCCATTTCCTTTAGCAAAACATGATTCCAATTTCTTCACCCCCATTCCCTGTTCCCATCTCTCCCACCCACACACCCACCCCCTCACTTCCTGATTGACTGCAGACTATATAGTAAAACTTGAGTTCGGCTTAGCTATACCTTAACTAATCATTTTCCTGAAATTTAACTAACCAATCCTAACATATTGTAACATGATTATGTAACCAATTATATCCCACCACCTTAATAGTTTACACCCAGCAAAATTAATTATACAGCAGACAGGAACAATCACAGAACCAGACAGAGATTATACAGACAAACAATAGCAAAGTGGGAACTATAATGACAAAACAATACAGAAGTGAGGATTTCACATCCCAGTATTGATAAGTGAGTTCTTGCCAGACAGGATGCTATCAAACTAAGTTTCCTTTTACATTTTCTAGGCACTTCCCTTTCTCTGGAAGTGATAGGCACTGTCAGGACAGGACTGTATTCCTAACAGCCCAATAGCACCTTATTTCAATGTGACTAGTTTGGGATGTTAGGAGGTGACCGGTCGCTTCCTAGCTTATGGCTGCCTCTGCTGCTTAGCCAGCGGCCTTAGCCTAAGCACAGGGCCACAAACTGTCACAGTAAGAGAAGGCCCTTACACCAGCAGACAGTGATTTTTATTCTTTTTTTTATACCTCTAGAACTAGCCAAGTGATAAGAATACACCTAAATTCTTAAAGTACGGGCCTTTGCAGACAGGCCTGAATATCTATATCCTAACACCCACATCAATGAGTAGCTGGGGTAATAGTCAGAGGGTTGGATAATCCTCAACAATCCCTCCATAACGTCTCAGATACGGGCCCCTGGTAGGCAGCATACCTCCCAGGACGCCATGTCTGGGCAACAGATGGGTGCCTCCGTCCCCTCAGAAGAGAGTCATCAATTACCACTACCCTATGTTTCCTCCTGGGAGCAGTGGCTGCGATCCTCCCAACCTTGGGGGTACATGGCTTTGCCTCCTCCTCCTTTGGGGGTGATTCCCCATCACTCAACATAACATAACAGTTTTCCATCACCAGGGTGGGGGGGTTGGGAGTAGGGGTGGAGCACTGCTCGCTGCCAGAAGTAACCAGCAGCCAGTGTCCTCCCTGTGACAGAGCCATATCCTCCTCCCCCGCTAGTGTGACAGAAGTCCTCTGTAGCTGGATAGCTTCCTCAGCCTTGGATGCCTTCACATGAATACTCTCGAGGAATTCCTCCTGGGCACGGATGCTCCTCGGCCTAGCCACTTCCTCCTGTAGCTCAAGGAGTGTCTACTGTGTGCTGCAGGCAGCTAATAAACCCGACTGCTTTTCCCGCTTTGTCACTGCACAGGCTGAAGGTGGGGTGCCTTGCTGCCTTGGGGGTACAAGTCTCGGCCAGGTGGCCAAGGCAGGGAGCTCACGGTGCCCAGCAGGGGTGCTGACGGCTCCGAGGTTTGGCTGAAGGAGGCGGTGAAGCCCAGGAGCTTGCCCTAGTGACAGGGTGAGACCCTAAGGGAGCCTGGCACACTGAAGGGGTCCTCCCAGGGATTGGTCCAGAGCAGGACCTTGTGGGTGCAGGAAAGGGCTGTGTCACGGTCCCTGTGAAGCCGGTCTGAGCAGGTTCCCTCCCGTTTGCTACCTGACTCCCTGAGTTTTGCCCCTGGAGCAGGTCCTGGCTGGAGCGGGGAGCAGGGGCTGATCACTGGAGTTCATGCAGCTCCAATCCCTCCCGCAGCATCATTGTCCCAGGGGAGCAGGCTCCCAGGGGCGGCGAGATCCGAGGGCCCTGGGCCCATTCAGTCCCTTTCCTGCCCGGCCCCAGCGCTTCCCCCGGGGTCTCTCAACCCCCTGGATGGCAGCCGCCGCCAAGCCAGCTTGGAACCGCTGCCCGGTCTCCGCTCTGTTCTCCCAGCACCAGCCGCTCATAGAATCATAGAATCATAGAATCATAGAATATAAGGGTTGGAAGGGACCCCAGAAGGTCATCTAGTCCAACCCCCTGCTCAAAGCAGGACCAATTCCCAGTTAAATCATCCCAGCCAGGGCTTTGTCAAGCCTGACCTTAAAAACCTCTAAGGAAGGAGATTCTACCACCTCCCTAGGTAACGCATTCCAGTGTTTCACCACCCTCTTAGTGAAAAAGTTTTTCCTAATATCCAATCTAAACCTCCCCCACTGTAACTTGAGACCATTACTCCTCGTTCTGTCATCTCCTACCATTGAGAACAGTCTAGAGCCATCCTCTTTGGAACCCCCTTTCAGGTAGTTGAAAACAGCTATCAAATCCCCCCTCATTCTTCTCTTCTGCAGGCTAAACAATCCCAGCTCCCTCAGCCTCTCCTCATAACTCATGTGTTCCAGACCCCTAATCATTTTTGTTGCCCTTCGCTGGACTCTCTCCAATTTATCCACATCCTTCTTGAAGTGTGGGGCCCAAAACTGGACACAGTACTCCAGATGAGGCCTCACCAATGTCGAATAGACACAGTACTCCAGATGAGGCCTCACCAATGTCGCTCTCCCCGGCCGGGCTGCCTCGCAGGGACTTTCCCCCGCTGGAACCGGCCCCGCTGCGGGGCGAGACCCCCGAGGTCCCCCGCCCCGCCGAGCCGGGCTCCGGGTTCCTCTCTCGGGAGCTGGAGTCACCGAGCGTCACGAACCCCCCTGCGCGGGCCCCACCCGCCGCCGGGCCAATCCGGGGCGGAGCCGCCGCTCCCCCCCCCCCCGCAGCCCTTTGTTCCGCCGGGGAGCCATGGCCGGGGCCGGGGGCCCAGCGCGGCGCCTGCTCCGGCCCCGCCAGTCGCGGGGCAGCGAGGTGGGCCGGGGCCGCGCGGCCGGGGCCAGATCCGGGGTCTCTGGGGGCAGACCCGGGGTCACTGGGGGGCCTCTTGGGGGGGGCTCTGGGGGCAGATCCGGGGTCACTGGGGGGGGGGCAGATCCCGGGTCGCCGGGGAGGCTCCGGGGGCAGATCCGGGGTTGCTGGGGGGCTCTGGGGGCAGATCCGGGGTCGCCGGGGCAGATCCGGGGTTGCTGGGGGGCTCTGGGGGCAGATCTCCCCGCGCTCCCCGCAGCCGGGGAAGTAACGGGGTGTCCGGGGCCAGGGGACGGGACGGGGAACGAGCCAGACAAGCCCCGATGCCGGGACAGAGACCAGGGAGCGTCCACACCGGGAGCAGGGGGCGCGGACCCGGCTGGTGAATGGCTCTTAGCCAGGATAGTCCGGGACACACTCTCCTTCCCTCCCGCCCCCAACTGCGGGTGTCCCCAAACTCTGCCCGCAGTCGGGGCTGGACGCATCTGACACTTGCCACTGTCCAAGACACGAGACCGGGCTGGGGGGCCACTGGTCTGAGCCAGTGTGGCCCTTCTGATGGGATCGGGGGGCTGCTTGGAGCTGGGCTCTGAGGTGTGTCCGTGGGGGAGTCAGAGCCAGACTTTGGGATGTGTTGGTGTGAGGGGGCTGTAGATGGGGGGGCAGGTTTAAAGCTGGGCCTGGGGGTGTACCAGTGTGTGTGCCGGGGTCAGAGCTGGGTGTTGGGGGTGGTTTGGGGGATATTTGGTTTGAGGGGGTCCATGTTCAGATCCAGCACTTTGGGTATGTTGGAGATGGAGCTGGGGAAGTTGGGGGAACGTCTGAAGTTAGTTGTTTGGGATGTGGGTGGGGCTGGGGAATGTTTGGGGCTGAGGTTTGGGCTGCACCTGGCACTTCACCAGGGTGTCCTGTGTCTTCCTTGGAAAACCTGGTCCTGCTCTCTCTGCCCCAGTGAGATCTTCCTCGCTGAGGCTGAACTGTATCTGGCAAGAAAGTCGGAGTCCCAGGGGCTCTGCACAGGCATGTACAGGGCAGGTTTGGGCCCTGAAATCTGGAAGCTGTGAGGCCCTTTGGAGCAGTTTGTAACATCCCCCTCCCCACTTCTTGCAGGAGGCACTGGGAGAGCATCTGGTCTGTCTACAAAAAGCCGAGGAGGAGCGGCAAAGCGTGGAGCTGCTGGTAGGTGCCCAGAGCCCCTTTACCCTCAGGTTTGCCTGGGTCCAGAGTGCCCTGAGTGACAGCTGATGAGGTTCAACAAGGACAAGTACAGAGGCCTGCACTTAGGATGGAAGAATCCCATGCACCGCTACAGGCTGGGGACCGACTGGCTAAGTGGCAGAAAAGGACCTGGGGATAACAGTGGACAAGAAGCTGGCTCTGAGTCAGCAGTGTGCCCGTGTTGCCAAGAAGGCCAACGGCACATTGGGCTGCATTAGTAGGAGCACTGCCAGCAGATGGAGGGAAGTGATTATTCCCCTCTATTCAGCGAGGCCACATCTGGAGTTTTGTGTTCAGTTTTGGGCGCCCCACTACTAAAAGGATGTGGACAAATTGGAGAGTCCAGCGGAGGGCAACGAAAATGATCAGGGGGCTGGGGCACATGACTTATAAGGAGAGGCTGAGGGAACTGGGGTTATTTAGTCCGCAGAAGAGAAGAGTGAGGGGAGATTTGATAGCAGCCTTCAACTCCCTGAAGGGGGGTTCCAAAGAGGATGGAGCTCAGCTGTTCTCAGTGGTGGCAGATGACAGAACAAGGACTGATGGTCTCAAGTTGCAATGGGGGAGGTCTAGGTTGGATATTAGGAAAAACTATTTTACTAGGAGGGTGGTGAAGCACTGGAATGGGTTACCTAGGGAGGTGGTGGAATCTCCATTCTTAGAGGTTTTTAAGGCCTGGCTTAACAAAGCCCTGGCTGGGATGATTTAGTTGGGGATTGGTCTTGCTTTGAGCAGGGGGTTGGACTAGATGACCTCCTGAGGTCTCTTCCAACCCTGATATTCTATGATTCTATGACACAGCAAACGCAGGGCCCATCCAGCCAGCCTCAGACAGGAAAGCATCCCCACTGGAGCCCAGGGTCAGACGTGGGAGCAACATGATGTGTTTAGGGTCTAAAAGGCTGCTGTGTAGGAGAGTGTCAGTCTGTGGCCTGGAGAGACCCTGCCCAAGGACTGGTCAGATATTATAGTGACCAGGGTTCCTTTCTCGTGCCAAGAGGAGACGGAGGAGAAGGAGAGGAAATGTGGGTGGGCAGATGAAGAATTTGGTTGAGTGCAATTTGGTGAGGTTTTGGGAGAAAAGCCCCTCCTGTTAGCCATGGACAGCTCACCCCGCCCTCCTTCCTCCACCCTTCCTGGCCTAACTGTGCCTAATCAGAGGCACAGTTCTGATTCTCCCCTCTTACCAAGCTGCCCTCTCCCTGGGTTGCAGAAACAGACTGAAGCTGAGCGGCAGAAGATCATTGCGGAGTGGAAGGAGCTGCGAGGGTTTCTGGAAGAGCAGGAGCAGCTCCTGCTGTCCCAGCTGGAAGAGCTAGCCAGAGCCATTGTCAAGAGAAGGGATGAGGGCATCTCCAGACCGGCTGGGGAGATTTCCCTTCTGGGAGGGAAGGGGCAGCAGCAGCCGAGGAGCCAATCCCCACAGGTCAGACTGGCTTATGGCAGTGGTAATACGCTGCTTCTCAGCCCTAGACCCCAACGCACCTCACAAGGTGGAGTCAGGGACATTATCCCTATTTCACAAAGGGGAAAGCGAAGCATAGGATGGAGCCCACAGTCACACAGTGAGTCTGGGGCAGAGTCAGGGATGGGACCTGGGAGTCCTGGGTGCTGTAACCCCAAGACCATCTCTCCTGCCCTGTAAATGTCTGTCTGCGTTTGCACTTTGAGGGTGAACTTCGCACCCTCCCCCCGAAAGACCCAAGGTCCCATGTCGTCCCAGGTTAGTGGGCTCAGTGGTGTGAGGGGACTTGGGGGAGCTCTCAGCACTAGGGGGAATATTCTCTTCCTGTAAAGTGCCTGGGGAGAGACTTTCCCCAACGGTGACCTCCTAGCAGGGACTTCTGGGGTTACTGGGGGCAGATGTCCCAGCTGTGGGGGAGATGTCCCAGCTGTTCTCTGAACGTGAACCCAAGTGTCTGAAATTCCCCAAATACCCGGGGCTCCAGTGGTGACTCCCCTGCAGAGCAGGAGGCCACCCCAGTCTGGGACAGGCCATTGACAGCCTCTTCTTTCTCCCCCTCTGCAGGGTGCGGGATGCACTGAGAGCAGGTACGTCCTGGGCTCCATTTCCCGCGTTCGATTGGAAAGCGATGGTTTAGAATTGGAATTCCACTGCTGACGGCGCTTCCCCCGCTGTGACACACTGGCTGAATGCCTGAGATCACGTCTTTCCTGAGTGGCTGCCTCAGGACGAAGAAGAGCCTCTTACTATCTGACAGCTAATGAGGGCTGGCAAACATAGGGCCTGTGGGCCAGACCCAGCCTGGCTGGTGTATTTATGTGGCCACGTCACGTGTTCACAGCGTGCAGAATCTCAGCTTTTGTCTTTTTAAAATCGGATTCGAGTCTTCACGGTTGCAAAGAAAACTTCCGAATTGCAAAGGGAGGCGATGCTGCCTTCCTGAGGGCTCGTCTACACTTGAAACGGTGGAGCTGCGCTGCTGCAGTATTTCAGTGTAGACGCTCCCTATGGCGACGGGAGGGGTTGTCCCATTGGCGTAGGTAATCCACCCCCCCCCCCCCGACAGGCAGTAGGTAGGTTGATGGCAGACTTCCTCGTAAGACTTAGCATTGTCTACCGGGGCACTCAAGTTGGCTTATCTGCACTGCTCAGAGGTGTGGATTTTTCGCACCCCTGAGCAATGTAGTTAAGACCACCTAATATTCGAGTGCAGACCAGGCCTGAGTCTGTGAAACAACCTGGAACCCTGGCTCAGAGATGTGTGAACTCCCCTGGCCCATGTGAATCTCATTGGTGTGTCAGCTGTAATGATGTCACTTGAAGGTCAACATTAAACATTCCACTGCTGATCTCTTGAGTGGAGGGGATGGGAGTGAAGCCCTTGAGAGGTAGGAATAGGGAGTTGCTCTAGGGAGGGAAGATCAGAGGAGAGACACATGCTATGTCTACACTGGCAACTGAACAACAAAACTTTTGTCTTTCAGAGGTGGTAAAAAAAAAAAGCCTGAAAGACAAAAGTTTTGTGTGGCAAGTGTCAGTGTGAACAGCACGTTCTTGGCAGGAGCGCTCTCCTGCCGACAATGCAAACACCGCTCGTTGGGGGTGGAAGTGTTTTGTCGGGAGGAGAGCCGACAAACAATGGCTGCACTGCGCGACTTTTAGTGGCCCGGCTGTAGTGACACTGCCTGTCACTAAAAGCTGTGTAGTGTAGACAAGCCCACAAAGACAAGGATGGGGGAAGGCAGGGAAACCGGGTAGAAATAGCAGAAGTGGGTGTTTTCCCTCTGAGTGAAAAAAGTTGTGACTTTATAAATAAGAGTAATTAAAAGGACAGATTCCCCACCTTGATCTTTGTGCCTGGGTGTCTCCAGTTTATGCCCTAGTCGAAGGACAATGATTAAAAGTGGGATACAGTGCTCTCCACCAATGGGGCTGACACTCCTGGGGTCACTGCTTTAGCTGAAGTTCTCAGGGCTTTTGGCATTAAATGGTCCAGGTTCAATCCCTGGGGAAGACCTGGGCTCTGTCTGTGGGCACTGTGAGCACATGGGATACGACCACTTTTTCGTCTCTGTCTCCTCCCTTTCCACATAATCCCAATGCTGGTGTCCCTTGTTACTGAAATAACCCAGGGTGGAGGGTGGCTCAGCACCCCAGCATGTCCCAGAGAGGGCACCAGACCCTGTCTCCATTCCGTGCCTCAGTGGCTCCCCACATCCCATGTCTCTGGGCCCATGGAGAGCACAGAGCTGTGGGCAGGTGACATCACAGATGATAAAGCTCAGATGCAGGTTTCCTGGAGTGTGGGGGCTTCTGGGATTGGAGATCGGACCCATGTCTCACCCTTCCTGCTTTCCTCAGCAGGGAGGATGGGCCGTTTCAGAAGCCAGAGCCGGGGTTTGCGGAGCTGGAGAAGAGACTCAGCGATTTCTCTCTGAAAAGTGCCATCCTGCAGGAGGTGCTGCTGGGATTCAAAGGTGAATTGGAGTTTGGCAGCAGCTTCCCTTCTAGTTAGAGGGATCCTCGCCCTGGGGAGGAGTCGGGGCTATAGTGATGTCGCTGACCCTGGGCTCCGTCTCACAGCCCCAGCTCAGGGAGTTGCCCTTCCCCATGCGAGTAGCCCTGTGGGGCTGGCTCTGCCTGAGTTATCAGCCTCGCTCTGGGTCACCATCTCATAATGAAAAGCAGGCACGTTAGTAACCAATAGGAATATGCCCATGAACGCGAGGGCCTGGATTCTCACCTCTCCCATCCTCTCCTTCCCCAGAGACTCTGCGACTGGAGCTGGAGAGCAACACAGGTACGTTTCTGTCTCTGATGGGGAGGTTTCAGACCAAGAACCGTGTTAGCGGCAGGGGATTGCTGCCTCCAGCCCGAGATAAACCTGAAAGCAGTGGAACAGTGACTGCCCAGTTCACTCCTGCGGTGATGTCTGGTGGGGGTCAGAGTGAATCCTGAGCTGACAGGCACAGTTCCCTTTGAGGAAAGGAACAAGAACCTGAGGGGTGTGAAATGGGGAGACGAAAGTGAAACATCCATACGCAGGGCAGTCTGCAGCTTTAATGAGCGACTGAAAAGGCCACAGGGCGGCCGCAGAGTCTCAGGAGTGAGGGACTGGAACCAAGCTATCCCTTGTCTAGACTGATCCTGAATGAGACATGGGGCTGCTATACTGTGTACAGACTGGCTGTGGAAGGGAAGAGAGCACTGAGTTGTACAGGGGCTCATCCTGAAAGAGGAGGGGGCTTCGCTAGTGGAGATCAGTGTTTCTCACACTTCACATTGGCGATTCTTTATCTGAGGTAAAAAGAAAAGGAGGACTTGTGGCACCTTAGAGACTAACAAATTTATTTGAGCATAAGCTTTCATGAGCTATGCTCAAATCAATTTGTTAGCTCACGAAAGCTTATACTTAAATAAATTTGTTAGTCTCCAAGGTGCCACAAGTCCTCCTTTTCTTTTTGCGAATACAGACTAACCCGGCTGCTACTCTGAAACCTATCTGAGTAAGAACAGACCTATGGAAGGGTGTTCAGCCTTCACAGTGTGTGTTTCAAGAGGCTGACAGAGAATCCCTGCCCTTGAGGGATAAGAGTGCGCAGGGCCTGAGGCAATGAGATTTTCTTTATTTAGGTCCTAATAAAACTCAGTATTTCCTGGCCCTCATGACTGTCTTTCCTGAGCCCCCTGGCGGCCACGACTAAGGCTATGATTTAGTCATGGGTATTTTTAGTAAAAATCATGGACAGGTCACAGGCAATAACCAAAAATTCACAGCCTGTGACCTGTCCGTGACCTTTACTATAAATACCCCTGATTAAATCTTAGCGGGGAGCCCACAGGGAGCCAGCAGCTGGGGAACGCTGAGCAGAGGCTGCTCTGGCCACCCCCTGGGCCACTGCTCGGGCAGGTCCGGGGGCCAGCCACACCGGCTGCTGCTCGGGTAGTCCCGGGGGCCGCCGAGCAGTGGCTGGCCCCAGAGCTGCTCCAGCCATAACCAGACTCTGTATACAGACCCTACTGACCATAACATTCAGAGCATTACAGGCTTTCCTAAAACACCTCACTTGACGTATGTTTATACACAACACCATTGTGTGCAGCCTGCCTCAGAATGGTAATGAGGTGGATGAACTGGAAGGGTGGAATCAGCGTCAACGGAGAGCAGTTAAAGCACCTCAGATTCACGGATGATAGCGTGTTGATTGCCAGAAACACTATCAAACGACAGAAAATGCTGCAAGGGCTCGACACAGAAAGCAGCCAAGTCGGACTGAAAATGAACCGCTCTAAATCGAAATGTATGCGGTTTGAGGCCTTGCCAAAAGCCCAAATAATAGTCAAGGGGGAACAAATAGAAGTTGTTGAGCAATACGTCTGTTTGGGCCAAGAAATTAACATGCACCACGATCGGGAAGGCGAACTGTCGCAAAGAAAGGAAGCTGGCTGGCGTGCATTCAATTCTATCAAGGATGTTCTCCAAGGAAAAATCAACAAGGCAACACGTGCCAACTTCTTCAAGTCTACAGTAGTGCCGGCAATGTTCTACGGCAGCGAAACATGGGCACTTACCGAGATAGAGGAGCAACAACCCCTCTGTCATGGAGAGGGCGATGGAAAGAAGAATTCTGGGGATTTTAATCAGGGACCAAGTCCCCAATGATATCATCAGACAGCAGAGTGGAGTGCAGGACATCATTGTTGAAAGCAGGTACATTAAAATGCGATGGGCAGGGGAATATAGCAAGGCTCACTGAGAATCGATGAACTGTAGCTGTCGCTGAGAGGTACCTACGGGAACTGAAATGACCACTCTGCCGACCTCCAAAGAGATGGGAAGATTTTATCATGCAGAGACATGGCTGCACCTGGAGAAGGAAGGATAAGAGAAGAATGGAAAGCTACTATTGTGATCGGCGCAATCTAAATGAGCACTGAAGGACCGATCGATCAAGATGACTACCAGTTGATTCAGTTGCTTATTCTTTGTGGTTCGGATCTCCTGTTCTCCCCTTGGCATGACTGGATCCTGGTTGTCACAATTGTTGTCCAAGGGAATCTGCCAATACCATTTGATGAGATGAATTGTGCTACGGTATTTTGCTTCACCCAAAGTGTCTAACGTCTCATCATCTCTGGCCTACGGGATGCATCAGGGACTGTGACACCATTCTGTTTTCTAGAATCAACACAATACCTCGCAGCTTAGCTTTTTTAGGGACCAACATCACAGGAGAGGCCCAAGAGCTGCCAGACTCTTTAATTTCCTGTATCCAGCATTTTGTACTTCTTCACAAATTTGTTTTTGTACGTTACCTGGATGCCCTGCTAGAGGCAGGCTGGGGTCCCACCGTGTCAATCCTATGGAATATTTTATGAGTCATCCCGAGCATGTTTGAGAACACTTGCTTGCGGCTTTGCAGAACAGCCAAGATCTCTGCCTTCTGAGTGGGTGTTAGCTCTGTGCATACTTCAGTCCTGCCAAGTGACGAGTCACCCTGGCATTCAGGATGCCTCAGACACGTGAAACACCTCCTGGGGCTGTTCTGCACGCAGTGTGTGAGTGTCATTACCAGGAGGGGGTTGGCTCCGAGGAGGTGAGTTCACAACCAGAGTTCCCTCTAAGCTGCCCGGCTGCGCGGCCGCCCAAGAGTCAAGCAAGGGCCATGCACTTGATTAGCAGAGTCCCGCACATCCGGCACATGAGTTCAGGTGCCCCTCCCCCTGCTGCTCTGCAGCCACTTTGCTCCAGCCCTTTGCCTTGGAGCCCCGGGCCAGCTGCTCCGGGGACCCTCCTGTATGCGGTGCCATAGGGGGAGGGGGTCAGGAGGTGGCGCTGATGTCAGATTGTCCTCCTCCCTGTGCCTCCCCTCAGTGCATGTACCCCACCTCCTTGGAGTGGGGTAGGGGACAGGGCTGAGGAGCAGGAGGAAGCTGCTGTGGTCTGAATGAGCCTTCTGGTGAGTACCTCTCTCCTTAAAGAGACAGCGCACGGTCTCTCCTACACTTCCCCAGCAGCCAGTACACATGCACTCTGTCTCTGTCACACACACAGTGTGTGTCTCTCTCTCTCACACACATTCACACTCACCTCCCAAAACAGACTTGTTTTTACTTCTTGGTACTTCCTGCAATGCACATATATTCTCCGTAATTTTATTCTTTTGAAGTGCTGTTATTTTAATTTTTTGACTGGTCTATGCAGTTCATAATCTTATTTCTCTCTTATGCTTAAATTTAAGTCTTTGAGTAATGAGTTCTAAAATGTCTAACCTGTCCTGGCTGGAGTGATTATCCCTACGGTAACTTTTAAAAAATATATAGGTTTTTTGTGACTACTGGCGGTGCACATCTGCACTTTACCTCAATATTGGTGCACATAACAAAATTAATTTCTTACACGGATGGAAAAAATTAGAGGGAACATTGTTCCCAACCCCTCCCTTTTCCCAGGGGTAAACCTGGGTCCCTTATTTACCCTGGACTTCTGCCCTTTTTTCTGTGTCTTGTGCTCACTAGATGCTCTGGCTTGCACATAGGAGTCAGCTAGATTGGCTGCTTCCTGAACAGAACCTAAAGTTTTATCTTCAATGGTTTCTCTGATTTCATCAGAGCATATTCTCGTGAAATGTTCATGTGCAAAAAGGTAGAATAACTGGTCATAAACCTCCACTCCTTTCCCCATTTCCTCATCAAATTACCCATTTTATAACCATGTGCTCTATGACTCATGTTAACACCTTTTTTGAGGGTTCTAAATCACCTTGTACACTTCACGGGTACTTTGAAGCTTCTGCAATACAGCCTTTGTAAAGTCGTCATTCAAAGCCTGTTGAATTGGTGTTTCATTAAATACATTTAATGCTTTATGCGCGAGCTTTGTAACCAGCATGGGGACATTCTTGTCTCCTGCGACTTTAAGGAACTCAGTTTTTTCAAAAGTAGTATGGCATTCCTCGATACAATCTGACTCTTCGTATGCAGGGCATAGTTTGTCCATCTGGGTGTTCCTTGTGAAGAGAAGTACCTGTGGGCTTTGAGATCTGTCCATGCTTATTCATTGTGTCCGGGTTATACACCCTCTCTCTATCCTTTTCTTGAGCTTCTTTCTGATCGGCTTCTTTGTCTCCTTTGTCAACTCCAATCTTTAGTGTTCGGCTCTCTGGTCCGTTTCTCATGTTTGGTGTTTACTTTCTTTGTCTCACTGTGTGGCTTTCCATTTTTAGTGTCCACATGCTGTTTTTGCAGCTTCCCACTCTTTATCTTTCTGATGATAGAATCATAGGGTTAGAAGGGAACACAAGGGTCATCTAGTCTAACCCCCTGCCAAGATGCAGGATTTGTTGTGTCTAAACCATCCAAGACAGATGGCTCTCCTGCTTTTTGAAAACCTCCCGGGCTCAGAGCAAAGAGATCCTGGGAGCTGATTGCACAGATGGGAATGAGTTAAACTAACTCAAAACTTCTTTGTGTGTAATGAAAAGAGCTGGGATTCCCTATAAAGACCCTGTGAACTCTGCGTTTAGGGTTGTCCCCAGCATGTGATGCATCCTCATGAAGGAGGTCACAGCTTCGCACCCACCCTCACTGACATCGGCATAGCTCCCTCCCTGGCTGCCCTTCCCCCGGCCTGGAGGCAGGTTGACCCTGTCCTCTCTCCTCTGGGGAAAGGTTCGGGAGGAGTCCGCCCCTGATTTTTTCCATCTCTCCAGCAGCCATTTTGGTTTGTTCCCTCTTCCCCAGAGCAGGGGACTACTCATGCCTGGATTCTCTCTCTGTTGCAGCAGGTGATCGGGCAGTGAGTGAGAACGAGGAGGAGAATCCTCCGCAGGGAGATACACAGCACAGGGAACCACCCGGGATGTTTTTAGAAAGATCTGAAAAGAACGTTCACTGGAGTCGTGAGCGGAGAAGAGGTCATGAGAGTCAGCACTGGCCAGAGAGGCAGCCGGGAAATCAGCCGGGGGATTGTCGGGGAAGTGGCAAGGACCTCCAGGAAACAGCAGCTCAGCAGAGAATCCCCACAGGAGAGAGAAAGAACACCTGCACTGAGTGTGGGAAAACCTTCAGTAGTCGCTCAAAGCTTATTACGCACTGGAGAATCCACACAGGGAACAGACCATATAAATGTTCAGAGTGTGGGAAAAGCTTCAATCAGCGTTCAAACCTTATTAAACATTGGAGAATCCACACGGGAAATAGACCCTTTAAATGCCATGACTGTGGGAAAAGCTTCACTGACAGCTCAAACCTTACTCAGCATCAGAGAACCCACGTGGGGGAGAGACCCTACAGGTGCTCGGAGTGCGGGAAAAGCTTCACTCGGAGCTCAGACCTTATTAGACATGAGACAATCCACACGGGAGACAGACCCTTTAAATGCTCAGCGTGCGGGAAAAGTTTCAATCAGAACTCGCACCTTATTACACATCAGAGGATCTACAAGGGAAAGTAACCCCATAAATAGCTTGGCTAGGGCTGGCTGAAAAGGTTGGGTTTTTTTTAATAATACATTTGCTATTTTCCAATAGTGACCTTTAAAGCTGTTTGCACCATTTGCTTCACTGTGGTCCCTCAGCTCCCTCAGGTGAGTTGCCTGCTTTTGCCGCTCACCCTTCTTTGGGGTGAAGCCCATCGTCCTTTCTGTGAATTCCTTGATATTCTGTAAGTCATGGGAGTGTGTGTCCCTCCTGACAGGAATGTCCATTAGTCCCAGATAGGGAGAGAGGGGTGACCTCAACTAGCTACATAGAGCTAAAATCTACTCGGACCTTGTCTCTGTGAGGGTTTTCCATGGAGTTAGCAGCTCTGGTAAAGTGGTTGGGGTTAGCTAGCACATTTCTCCTTAAGCTGACCTAACCTCCATCACTCTTCCTAGTTCAGACAACCCTAAGCATCACATTTATATTTACTCCTGCGGGAATTCTGTGCCAAAAAAATAAAAATTCTGCACACAATATTTGAAAATTCTGCAAATTTTATTTGTCAAAATAACACTGCATGATCATGCCAGTTTCAATTATTTTGGTAACTTATTTCAAAGTACCTGTCAGCAAGTATGACTGTAACAATACAGACACACACAAAATTTCCCCCAGGAGCAGAGAATTAAAGAAACGCCTATGACAACCCGGTTCCAGTTTCTCTGCCCGCACCACCCAGAACCCAGCTGGGGAGGGTGTGGGGGGGCAGACACCCCCAACCCCCCCATGTCCCACTCCTGAGTCCAGCCGCAGGCCCTCCCAGCCCAGACACCCACCTCCTCTCCCTCCAGAGCCCAGCCATGGTCCCCACAAGCCAGACACCAGGTCCCCTCCCACCCACCCACCCCTAAGTCAGACACCAGCTCTTCTTCCCCTCCAAGACCAGCCATGGCCCCCCTATGCTGGACACCAGCCCGCCTCCCATGCAAAGCCCAGCTGTGGCCCCCTCCCAGCCCAGGCACCCATCCCCCCTACCACCCAGAGCCCAGCTGTGGCCCTCCCAGCTCAGACACCAGCCCCCTATTGGCTAGGGATTCACAGGGAGAAACAGCCTGTTGCTGGGTCCCAGGCTTGTGTGGAGTTTCCTGCACACCACCCTCTCCTTCCCTTGGGCGTGCGGGGAACTGCAGCTGCCGGAAACTCTCTACTCTTTCCCCTGGTCCTCCCCACCCCCACAGTGTCTTCTGTGTGCAAGCAGGGCTCATCCGGGTCCAGCAGCCCCTGCTGGTGGCCAGCAGCATTGCAGCCCATTTCTCTGTAGGGGAAAGGAAATTATGTGCAAAAAACATTAATTTCTGCAAAATTCTGCATTGCACAGTGGCGCAGAATTCCCCCAGGAGTATTATTGTTCCCCCACTAGCAGAGTGATTGTCAGAGTAACTGAGTTCACCCTTTGTGGACAGATTGTCTCACTCCTTGTTATTCTCACTTTCTCCAGGTAGTGCACAAAGTTGTTATTTTTGTACCATTTTTCTCATTTAAAATATATTTATAACAAAGAGAAGGCGCAGGGAGACAAAAAAATAGTGTCATTTCTGCCTGTGATACACAAAGGAGACGGGGTGGATTGGAGGGATTCTTTCCTTCCCCATCACCACCATGATACTCCCTCACCACTCCGGCTTTAGAATTTATTCTGTCCCTCCACCTCCCAAGTGTCATGTGACACACTGTTCTTCGCTCTCTTTGCTTAGGAATCACATACTTGTAAGCACTGGAGATTAAAGTGTCACAGTCGTAGAGGGGAAAGTTGAGTGGATCCCAAAGCCAGTGTGATCGTTCTGATCTTAAATCCCAGTTTCCCGTTCTTGAAAAAGTGACTTTGGGGCTTTTTCCTGCTGAGCGGATGGAAAGGCTGCCTGTTTTTCCCCAATTCAAGGATGCTAAAACGTTTGAAAATAATAATGAGGTGGTGTTGAGGAAGCAGGTTTGAATGGATCATAGGAGAACGCAGTGGGAGAATTTGTCCTCCTCACTTTTGAATCATAATATATAACCTCCTCTAGAATTTCATAGTGTATTACACCATAATTGTCAAATTTCTCTGCATTATGGATTTTTCTCTCTTTCCTGAATGCCGTTTTGTCACGTAACTGGATATTTTGTTGGACAGAATGTAGATCAGATTTATTAGGGACTTTGAAACAGATTACCATTTGCTAAAATAGTCTTGTGTTTTTTTTCCCATCCCTCCACGGTGACATAGAAGAAATTATTTCAGTCACCGGGAGAGAATACTCCAATTTATTGCGCATGCTACCGAGGAACTAGTAGTGTATTTTAAATCTCCATATTGAAATGATGAACAACAGTACACCACAAATGATGCAACCAGCTGAAGTAATTGGATATGATCACACTGTTGTTAAGTTGGTTGGGTCAATATCGTGTCAGATGATCTTGGGAGAGAATTTCACAGTAAGTGAGTTGGAACTAGGCAAAATATTTGGTTCCCAAAACAGTTGTGGCCCAGGCAGGTCCGGATTAAAGAATTTTGGGTCCACCTCCCCACGTTCCTTAAACTAGACAGAACATGTGATAGACCATATGTAAATATGAGAGCCTCTTCATTTATGATGATGATTGTTAGAGCTTTCTCAGCAGAAAATACAGAAGCACCACTGAAAGTGAAATGATTGTGTTCTTATGCTAACTTATACAGTAGCATAGTGTATTTTCAGAATTAGCAGGAATACAAACAGAATTTGAATATAAGAATAAAAATTAGCCCCACTGAGTTTTGGGATTTTTATTTTATATTTTATTTTTATTTTCTAGCCGCAAGGAACTTGAGATTTTGGGAATTTTCTGAGGCCCTGGGGATTTTGGGATTTATGGAGGCCATGAAGTTTTTGGTATTTTTGGAGGAACTGGAAGTTTTGAGATTTTTTTGAGGCCCGGGATGTTTTGGCATTTTGTGGCTTTTTGGAGGGCCCAGTGTGACACTCTGTATCTTGGGGGAACACGCTGCACTCCCATGTTCATCCTTATAATATGATTGTATTGTATCTAATGCAAAGTTTGTCATGTCGGGTGTCTTCGGAAGGTTCATGATGCACTGAGCATTGTTGTTATAGTGATGTTATAGGTTGTAATTTCATGTATATAGTTATGAGGCTGAAAATGTGTCCTCATGGCTTAAAACAAGCCCAGGCAAAACTCTCCAGGAACAGAGCTTTTATTTCATTTGACCAAATCTGACTTCTTGTGCTTTGACTTATAATCACTTAAAATCTATCTTTTGTAGTTAATAAATCTGTTTGTTTATCCTACCTGAAGCAGTGCATTTAGTTTTAAGTGTGTCAGAGACTCCCCTTGGGATAAAAAGTCTCCCATGAGAACCAGGGCCTGCAATCTAGTTAGTTTTCCTGAGTGGAGCAATTAGTGGGGTTACTTCAAATTTTAATTTAGAGCAATGTGTGTCTTTAGTGCAGGCGAATTCTCCAAAGACATCCCGGCATTCTTTGCAAGTACGGGCCCTTCGAACTCACCTGCTCCTGTAGCGCAGAGTCAGATCTGCCTGCTACAGGGACAAAACCCAGGTCTTCACTCCCATCCACCCACAGAGGCTAAGGGAGAGGGAGCTGGAGTCTGCTCCTTCTGGTGCATCATCCACAGAAATGGTAGCTAAGTTCCAGCCTCTTCCACCAGGGCAGGATCCGCTGAAGACAATGGGGCTGCACAGGTGCCCTGGAGGGCCTGATTTGACATTAAAACTGGTGATGAAAAGCAAGGGGGCAGTCAGGGGACGGGGAGCAGGGGCGGTTGGATGGGGTGGAGGTTCAGCGGGGAGGCAAGCAGGGGGTGGGAAATGGGGTGGGGGGGTGATAGGCATGGAGTCCCGGGGGGCCTGTCAGGGGACGGGGGTGTGCATAGGGGTCAGGGCAGTCAGGGAGCAGGGGGGTTGGATAGGGGCTGGGGTCCCGGGAGGGGGCGGTCAGGGGTCAAGAAGCAGGGGGGGTTGGATGGGTTGGGAGTTCTGAGGGGGCAGTCAGGGGGCGGGAACTGGGAGGGGCAAATAAGGGGTGGGGGGCAGGCTGTTTGGGGAGGCACAGCCTTCCCTACCTGGCCCTCCATACAGTTTCGCAACCTGATGTGGCCCTCGGGCCAAAAAGTTTGCCCACCCCGTTATAGACTCATAGACCCATAGGACTAGAAAGTGACTGCAAGATGCAGGATTCCAGCCTGCAAACTCCCTCAGCCTCTCCCCAGTAGCTTTCTCCACCTTCTGAAATAAAAAGTTGTCTCCAATACATTCCAGGAAGTTGTTGGATAACTTGTGCCCTGCGGTGTTATTGTCCCAACAGATGTCTGAGTAGCTGAAGTCCCCCATCACCATTGGCATTGGATGATTTTGTTAGTTGTTTAAAGAAAGCCTCATCCGCCTCTTCTTCCTGGTTAGGTGGTCTGTAGTAGACCCCTACCATGACATCACCCTTGTTTTTTTACCCCTTTTATCCTTACCCAGAGACTTTCAGCAAGTCTGTTCCCTATTTCCATCTCAACCTCAGTCCAAGTGTATCCATTTTAATATATAAGGCAAAACCTCCTCCCTTTCCCACTGCCAGTCCTTCCTGAGCAAGCTGTACCCTTCTCTACCAATATTCCAGTCATGCGTATTATCCCACTAAGTCTCTGTGATGCCAATTATGTCATAGTTGTGTTTATTTACTAGCATTTTGAGTTCTTCCTGCTTATTCCCCATACTTCTTGCATTAGCATACAGTCATCTAAGATACTGATTTGATTTCCCCACCCCCAGTTCTATCTTGTCTCTCCCTTATCCCTCCTGTATCAGCCCATTCTCCCACCAAATGCCGACCCTTCTCCCAGGTCTCCATGTTTTTTACTTACCTGTGGGCTTTGGTCACCTTCCCCCTTCAAACCTAGTTTAAAGCCCTCCTCACTAGGTTAGCCAGTCTGTATCCAAATATGCTCTTCCCCTTCCTCGATAGGTGGACCCCATCTCTGCTTAGCAGATCCTCCCAACCTTAGGAGTACATGGCTTCGCCTCCTCCTCCTTTGGGATGATTCCCCATCACTCGTTGCCAGGGCAACATAACAGTTTTCCATCACCAGGGTTGGGGGGGTTGGGAGTAGGGGTGGAGCACTGCTCGCTGCCAGAAGTAACCAGCAGCCAGTGTCCTCCCTGTGACAGAGCCATATCCTCCTCGGTAGTGTGACAGAAGTCCTCTGTAGCTGGATAGCTTCCTCAGCCTTGGATGCCTTCACATGAATACTCTCGAGGAATTCCTCCTGGGCACGGATGCTCCTCGGCCTAGCCACTTCCTCCTGTAGCTCAAGGAGTGTCTACTGTGTGCTGCAGACAGCTAATAAACCCGACTGCTTTTCCCGCTTTGTCACTGCACAGGCTGAAGGTGGGGTGCCTTGCTGCCTTGGGGGTACAAGTCTCGGCCAGGTGGCCAAGGCAGGGAGCTCACGGTGCCCAGCAGGGGTGCTGACGGCTCCGAGGTTTGGCTGAAGGAGGCGGTGAAGCCCAGGAGCTTGCCCTAGTGACAGGGTGAGACCCTAAGGGAGCCTGGCACACTGAAGGGGTCCTCCCAGGGATTGGTCCAGAGCAGGACCTTGTGGGTGCAGGAAAGGGCTGTGTCACGGTCCCTGTGAAGCCGGTCTGAGCAGGTTCCCTCCCGTTTGCTACCTGACTCCCTGAGTTTTGCCCCTGGAGCAGGTCCTGGCTGGAGCGGGGAGCAGGGGCTGATCACTGGAGTTCATGCAGCTCCAATCCCTCCCGCAGCATCATTGTCCCAGGGGAGCAGGCTCCCAGGGGCGGCGAGATCCGAGGGCCCTGGGCCCATTCAGTCCCTTTCCTGCCCGGCCCCAGCGCTTCCCCCGGGGTCTCTCAACCCCCTGGATGGCAGCCGCCGCCAAGCCAGCTTGGAACCGCTGCCCGGTCTCCGCTCTGTTCTCCCAGCACCAGCCGCTCTCCCCGGCCGGGCTGCCTCGCAGGGACTTTCCCCCGCTGGAACCGGCCCCGCTGCGGGGCGAGACCCCCGAGGTCCCCCGCCCCGCCGAGCCGGGCTCCGGGTTCCTCTCTCGGGAGCTGGAGTCACCGAGCGTCACGAACCCCCCTGCGCGGGCCCCACCCGCCGCCGGGCCAATCCGGGGCGGAGCCGCCGCTCCCGCCCCCCCCCCCGCAGCCCTTTGTTCCGCCGGGGAGCCATGGCCGGGGCCGGGGGCCCAGCGCGGCGCCTGCTCCGGCCCCGCCAGTCGCGGGGCAGCGAGGTGGGCCGGGGCCGCGCGGCCGGGGCCAGATCCGGGGTCTCTGGGGGCAGACCCGGGGTCACTGGGGGGCCTCTTGGGGGGGGCTCTGGGGGCAGATCCGGGGTCACTGGGGGGGGGCTCTGGGGGCAGATCCCGGGTCGCCGGGGAGGCTCCGGGAGCAGATCCGGGGTTGCTGGGGGGCTCTGGGGGCAGATCCGGGGTCGCCGGGGCAGTTCCGGGGTTGCTGGGGGGCTCTGGGGGCAGATCTCCCCGCGCTCCCCGCAGCCGGGGAAGTAACGGGGTGTCCGGGGCCAGGGGACGGGACGGGGAACGAGCCAGACAAGCCCCGATGCCGGGACAGAGACCAGGGAGCGTCCACACCGGGAGCACCAGGGGTCGGCACCACCCTGTTGCCGAGGGAAACTTGACAAAATCACCCTGCTCAGTGACGGACGGACGGGGGCGCGGGGGGGGGGTTTATGTCATTCGGGTCATTCAACGTTCCTTGAAAAATGACCACGGACTTCGACATTTTTGCCCCCAACGCTTGTGTCCATGTAGGGCCACGTTGCTGGTCCCTGGTGAACGCTGCAGGCAGATCAGGTCACCCCATCTCCAAAAGATGTTTGAGAATTGGGAAAGGTGCAGAGAAGGGCAATACAAGTGAGGAGGGGCATGGAACAGCTTCCCACTGGGGAGAGATTGAAAAGACCCTGAGACTTTCAGCTTGGAAAAGAGATGACTGGGGGGGGGGGGGGGGGGGGGATATGATAGAGGTCTATCAAATCATGGATGGTTTGGAGAAAGTGACTAGGGAAATGCTTTTACTCTTCATGCAACACAAGAACCGGGAGTCACCCGTTGAAATTAACAGGCAGCAGGTTTAAAACAAACACAAGGAAGTACTTCTTCACACAAGGCATAATCAGCCTGGGGAGCTCGTTGCCATGGGATGTTGTGAAGGCCAAAAATACAACTGGGTTCCCGCAAAGACATTAGATAAATTCAGGGAGGACAGGCTGGTGAATGGCTGTTAGCCAAGATAGTCAGGGACATGCCCTCCCCCAGCTCCAGGTGTCCCTAAACTCTGCCAGAAGCTGGGACTGGATGACAGGGAGTGGATCTCGTGATAATCGCCCGGTTCTGTTCATTCACTCTGAAGCATCTGACACCGGCCACTGTCAGAGACAGGATACTGGGCTAGGTGGACCATTGGTCTGACCCAGTATGGCCCTTCTAATGTTCTTATGTGGGAAGAACAGCTGGAGCTGGGGATTGTGGGGCTGCTTGGGTTTGGGGGGAGTCAGAGCCAGACTTTGGGATCAGTTGGTGTGAGGGGTCTGTAGATGGGGGGGAAGTTCAAAGCTGGGCCTTGGGGGTGTTCCAGTGTGTGTGCAGGGGTCAGAGCTGGGTGTTGGGATGTGTGTGGTTTGGGGGGATATTTGGTTTGAGGGGGTCCATGTTCAGATCCGGCACATTGGGTATGTTGCGGTTGGAGCTGGGGAAGTTAGAAAGGAGCATAAACTCTGTCAAATGAAGTGTAAAAATATAATTAGGAAGGCCAAAAAAGAATTTGAAGAACAACAAGCCAAAGACTCAAAAAGTAACAGCAATTTTTTAAAAAATATATCAGAAGCAGGAAGTCTGCTAAACAACCAGTGGGGCCACTGGACTAGTGCTAAAGGAGCACTCAAGGACGGCAAGGCCATTTCAGAGAAACTAAATGAATTCTTTGCATTGGTCTTCACGGCTGAGAACGTGAGGGAGATTCCCAAACCTGAGCCATTCTTTTTAGGTGACAAATCTGAGGCACTGTCCCAGATTGAGGTGTCATTAGAGGAGGTTTTGGAATAAAAACTGATAAACTAAACAGTAATAAGTCACCAGGACCAGATGGTATTTACCCAGGAGTTCTGAAGGACCTCAAATGTGAAATGGCAGAACTACTAACTGTAGTAGTTAAATCAGCTTCTGTACCAAAATCAGCTTCTGTACCAAATGACTGGAGAATAGCTAATGTGACACCAATTATTAAAAAGGGCTCCAGAGGTGATCCCAGCAATTACAGGCCAGTAAACCTGACTTCAGTACCAGGCAAACTGGTTGAAATTATAGTAAGGAACAGAATTGTCAGACGCACAGATGAACATAATTTGTTGGGGAAAAGTCAACATGGTTTTTGTAAAGGGAAATCATGCCTCACCAATCTACTAGAATTCTTTGAGGGGGGTCAACAAGCATGTGGACAAGGGGCATCCAGTGGATATAGTGTACTTTGATTTTCAGAAAGCCTTTGACAAGGTCCCTCACCAAAGGCACTTAAGCAAAGTAAGCTGTCATGGGATAAGAGGGAAGGTCCTCTCATAGATTGGTAACTGGTTAAAAGATGGGAAACAAAGGGAAGGAGTAAATGGTCAGTTTTCAGAATGGAGAGAAGTAAATAGTCCCCCAGGGGCAGACCTATTCAACATATTCATAAATGATCTCATAGAATCATAGAATCATAGAATATCAGGGTTGGAAGGGACCCCTGAAGGTCATCTAGTCCAACCCCCTGCTCGAAGCAGGACCAATTCCCAGTTAAATCATCCCAGCCAGGGCTTTGTCAAGCCTGACCTTAAAAACCTCTAAGGAAGGAGATTCTACCACCTCCCTAGGTAACGCATTCCAGTGTTTCACCACCCTCTTAGTGAAAAAGTTTTTCCTAATATCCAATCTAAACCTCCCCCACTGCAAGTTGAGACCATTACTCCTCGTTCTGTCATCTGCTACCATTGAGAACAGTCTAGAGCCATCCTCTTTGGAACTCCCTTTCAGGTAGTTGAAAGCAGCTATCAAATCCCCCCTCATTCTTCTCTTCTGCAGGCTAAACAATCCCAGCTCCCTCAGCCTCTCCTCATAAGTCATGTGTTCCAGACCCCTAATCATTTTTGTTGCCCTTCGCTGGACTCTCTCCAATTTATCCACATCCTTCTTGTAGTGTGGGGCCCAAAACTGGACACAGTACTCCAGATGAGGCCTCACCAATGTCGAATAGAGGGGAACCTGGGAAAAGGGGTAAACAATGAGATGGTAAAATTTGCAAATGATACAAAACTATTCAAGTCCCAGGCAGACTTCGAAGAGCCAGAAAAGGATCTCTCAAAACTGGGTGACTGGACAACAAAATGGCAGATGATATTCAATGTTGATAAATGCAAAGTAATGCACATTAGAACACATAATCCCAACTATACATATAAAATGATGGGGTCTAAATTAGTTGTTACCACTCAAAAAAGAGATCTTGGGTCATCGGGGATAGTTCTCTGAAATCATCCATTCAGTGTGCAGCGGCAATCGAAAAAAGCAAACAGAATCTTGGGAATCATTAAGAAAGGGATAGATAATAAGACAGAAAATATCATGTTGCCTCTATATAAATCCATGGTACGCCCACATCTTGAATACTGCTTGCAGATGTGGTCGCCCCATCTCAAAAAAGATGTATTAGAAAAGATTCAATGGTTAGAGGTATGGAACGGCTTTTGTATGAGGAAAGATTAATAGAACTGAGACTTTTCAGCTTGGAAAAGAGACGACTAAGAGGGGATAGGATAGAAGTCTGTAAAATTATGACTGGTGTGGAGAAAGTAAATAAGGAAGTGTTATTTACTCCTCATAACACAAGAACTAGGGCTCACCAAATGAAATTAATAGACGGCAGATTTAAAACTAACAAAAGGAAGTATTTTTTTCACACAATGCACAGTCAACCTGTGGAACTCCTTGCCAGAGGATGTTGTGAAGCCCAAGACTATAACAGTTCAAAAAAGAACTAGATAAGTTCACGGAGGACAGATCCATCAATGGCTATTAGCTAGAATGGGCAGGGATGGTGTCCCTCGCCTCTGTTTGCCAGAAGCTGAGAATGGGCAACAGGGGATGGATCATTTGATGATGAGCTGTTCTGTTCATTCCCTCTGGGGCATCTGGCATTGGCCACTGTTGGAAGACAGGATACTGGTCTAGATGGGCCTTTGGTCTGACCTAGTATGGCCGTTCTTATGGTTGTTTGGGATGTGGGTGGAGCTGGGGAATATTTGGGGCTGAGGTTTGGGCTGCACCCGGCACTTCACCAGGGTGTCCTGTGTCTTTCTTGGAAAACCTGGTCCCGCTCTCACTGCCCCTGAGATCTTCCTCACTGAGGCAGAACTGTATCTGGCAAGAAAGTCGGAGTCCCAGGAGTTCTGCACAGGCATGTGCAGTGCAGGATTTGACCCTGAAATCTGAAAGCTCTGAGGCACTTTCGAGCAGTTTGTAACATCCCACCCCGCTTCTTCCAGGAGGCACCGGGAGAGCATCTGGCCTGTCTGCAAAAAGCCGAGGAGGAGAGGCAAAGCGCGGAGCTGCTGGTAGGTGCCCAGAGCCCCTTTCCCCTCAGGTTTGCCTGGGACCAGAGTGCCCTGAGTGACACCAAACGCAGGGCCCATCCAGCCAGCCTCAGACAGGAAAGCATCCCCACTGGAGCCCAGGGAGAGGGCAGGGTCAGACGTGGGAGCAACATGATGTGTTTAGGGTCCAAGAAGCTGCTGGGCAGGAGAGTGTCAGTCTGAGGCCTGGAGAGACCCAGCCCAAGGGCTGGTCAGAAATTATAGTGACCAGGGTTCCTTTCTAGCACCTAGGGGAGACGGGGGAGAAGGACAGGAAATGTGGGTGGGCAGAAGAAGAGTTTGGTTGAGTGCAATTTGGTGAGGTTTTGGGAGAAAAGCCCCTCCTGTTAGCCATGGACAGCTCACCCCGCCCTCCTTCCTCCACCCTTCCTGGCCTAACTGAACTCCCGTCACCCGCCGCATCAACAGTGTGTTCTGGTAAATAACTCCCCCATCTGCTGGGAGGCACAGTTCTGATTCTCCCCTCTTACCAAGCTGCCCTCTCCCTGGGTTGCAGAAACAGACTGAAGCTGAGCGGCAGAAGATCATTGCGGAGTGGAAGGAGCTGCGAGGGTTTCTGGAGGAGCAGGAGCAGCTCCTGCTGTCCCAGCTAGAAGAGCTAGCCAGAGCCATTGTCAAGAGAAGGGATGAGGGCGTCTCCAGACCGTCTGGGGAGATTTCCCTTCTGGGAGGGAAGGGGCAGCAGCAGCCGAGGAGCCAATCCCCACAGGTCAGACTGGCTTATGGCAGTGGTAATACGCTGCTTCTCAGCCCTAGACCCCAATGCACCTCACAAGGTGGGGTCAGGGACATTATCCCTATTGTACAAAGGGGAAAGCGAAGCACAGGAACACAGTTCTGCCCACAGTCACACACTGAGTCTGGGGCAGAGTCAGGGATGGGACCTGGGAGTCCTGGGTGCTGTAGCCCCAAGACCGTCTCTCCTGTCCTGTAAATGTCTGTCTGCATTTGCACTTTGAGGGTGAACTTCCCAGCCCACCCTCCCCCCGCCAGGCCCAAGGTCCCATGTTGTCCCAGGTTAGTGGGTTCAGTGGTGTGAGGGGACTTGGGGGAGCTCTCAGCACTAGGGGGAATATTCTCTTCCTGTAAAGTGCCTGGGGAGAGACTTTCCCCAACGGTGACCTCCTAGCAGGGACTTCTGGGGTTGCTGGGGGCAGATGTCCCAGCTGTGGGGGAGGGAGATGTCCCAGCTGTTCTCTGAACGTGAACCCAAGTGTCTGAAATTCCCCAAATACCTGGGGCTCCAGTGGTGACTCCTCTGCAGAGCAGGAGGCCACCCCAGTCTGGGACAGGCCCATTGACAGCCTCTTCTTTCTCCCCCTCTGCAGGGTGCGGGATGCACTGAGAGCAGGTACGTCCTGGGCTCCATTTCCCACGTTCGATTGGAAAGCGATGGTTTAGAATTGGAATTCCACTGCCGACGGCGCTTCCCCCGCTGTGACACACTGGCTGAATGCCTGAGATCATGTCTTTCCTTAGTGGCTGCCTCAGGACGGAGAAGAGCCTCTTACTATCTGACAGCTAATGAGGGCTGGCAAACATAGGGCCTGTGGGCCAGACCCAGCCTGTCTCATGTATTTATGTGACTACGTCACGTGTTCACAGTGTGCAGCTTTTGTCTTTTTATAATTGGATTCTAGTCTTCAGGGTTGCAAAGAAACCTTCCGAAATGCAAAGGGAGGTGATGCCGCCTTCCTGAGGGCTCGTCTACACTTGAAACGGTGGAGCTGCACTGCTGCAGTGTTTCAGTGTAGACGCTCCCTATGGCGACGGGAGGGGTTGTCCCATTGGCGTAGGTAATCCACCCCCCCCCCCCCGACAGGCAGTAGGTAGGTTGATGGGAGACTTCCTCGTTAGACTTAGCATTGTCTACCGGGGCACTCAAGTTGGCTTATCTGCACTGCTCAGAGGTGTGGATTTTTCGCACCCCTGAGCAATGTAGTTAAGACCACCTAATATTCGAGTGCAGACCAGGCCTGAGTCTGTGAAACAGCCTGAAACCCTGGCTCAGAGATGTGTGAACTCCCCTGGCCCATGTGAATCTCATTGGTGTGTCAGCTGTAATGATGTTACTTGAAGGTCAACATTAAACATTCCACTGCTGATCTCTTGAGCGGAGGGGATGGGAGTGAAGCCCTTGAGAGGTAGGAATAGGGAGTTGCTCTAGGGAGGGAAGATCAGAGGAGAGACACAAGCTATGTCTACACTGGCAACTGAACAACAAAACTTTTGTCTTTCAGAGGTGGTAAAAAAAAAAGCCTGAAAGACAAAAGTTTTGTGTGGCAAGTGCCAGTGTGAACAGCACGTTCTTGGCAGGAGCGCTCTCCTGCCGACAATGCAAACACCGCTCGTTGGGGGTGGAAGTGTTTTGTCGGGAGGAGAGCCGACAAACAATGGCTGCACTGCGCGACTTTTAGTGGCACGGCTGTAGTGACACTGCCTGTCACTAAAAGCTGTGTAGTGTAGACAAGCCCACAAAGACAAGGACGGGGGAAGGCAGGGAAACCAGGTAGAAATAGCAGAAGTGGGTGTTTTCCCTCTGAGTGAAAAAAGTTGTGACTTTATAAATAAGAGTAATTAAAAGGGCAGATTCCCCACCTTGATCTTTCTGCCTGGGTGTCCCCAGTTTATGCCCTAGCCGAAGGACAATGATAAAAAGTGGGATACAGTGCTCTCCACCAATGGGGCTGACGCTCCTGGGGTCACTGCTTTAGCTGAAGTTCTCAGGGCTTTTGGCATTAAATGGTCCAGGTTCAATCCCTGGGGAAGACCTGGGCTCTGTCTGTGGGCACTGTGAGCACATGGGATACGACCACTTTTTCGTCTCTGTCTCCTCCCTTTCCACATAATCCCAATGCTGGTGTCCCTTGTTACTGAAATAACCCAGGGTGGAGGGTGGCTCAGCACCCCAGCATGTCCCAGAGAGGGCACCAGACCCTGTCTCCATTCCGTGCCTCAGTGGCTCCCCACATCCCATGTCTCTGGGCCCATGGAGAGCACAGAGCTGTGGGCAGGTGACATCACAGATGATAAAGCTCAAATGCAGGTTTCCTGGAGTGTGGGGGCTTCTGGGATTGGAGATCGGACCCATGTCTCACCCTTCCTGCTTTCCTCAGCAGGGAGGATGGGCCGTTTCAGAAGCCAGAGCCGGGGTTTGCGGAGCTGGAGAAGAGACTCAGCGATTTCTCTCTGAAAAGTGCCATCCTGCAGGAGGTGCTGCTGGGATTCAAAGGTGAATTGGAGTTTGGCAGCAGCTTCTCTTCTAGTTAGAGGGATCCTCGCCGTGGGGAGGAGTCGGGGCTATAGTGATGTCGCTGACCCTGGGCTCCGTCTCAGAGCCCCAGCTCAGGGAGTTGCCCTTCCCCATGCGAGTAGCCCTGTGGGGCTGGCTCTGCCTGAGTTATCAGCCTCGCTCTGGGTCACCATCTCATAATGAAAAGCAGGCACGTTAGTAACCAATAGGAATATGCCCATGAACGCGAGGGCCTGGATTCTCACCTCTCCCATCCTCTCCTTCCCCAGAGACTCTGCGACTGGAGCTGGAGAGCAACACAGGTACGTTTCTGTCTCTGATGGGGAGGTTTCAGACCAAGAACCGTGTTAGCGGCAGGGGATTGCTGCCTCCAGCCCGAGATAAACCTGAAAGCGGTGGAACAGTGACTGCTCAGATCACTCCTGAGATGATGTCTGGTGGGGGTCAGAGTGAATCCTGAGCTGACAGGCACAGTTCCCTTTGAGGAAAGGAACAAGAACCTGAGGGGTGTGAAATGGGGAGACGAGGCTGAAACATCCATACACAGGACAGTCTGCAGCTTTAATGAGCGACTGAAAAAGGCCACAGGGCGGCCGCAGAGTCTCAGGAGTGAGGGACTGGAACCAAGCTATCCCTTGTCTAGACTGATCCTGAATGAGACATGGGGCTGCTATACTGTGTACAGACTGGCTGTGGAAGGGAAGAGAGCACTGAGTTGTATAGGGGCTCATCCTGAAAGAGGAGGGGGCTTCGCTAGTGGAGATCAGTGTTTCTCACACTTCACATTGGCGATTCTTTGTCTGAGGTAAAAATAAAAGGAGTACTTGTGGCACCTTAGAGACTAACAAATTTATTTGAGCATAAGCTTTCGTGAGCTATGCTCAAATCAATTTGTTAGCTCACGAAAGCTTATACTTAAATAAATTTGTTAGTCTCCAAGGTGCCACAAGTCCTCCTTTTCTTTTTGCGAATACAGACTAACCTGGCTGCTACTCTGAAACCTATCTGAGGTAAGGAATTTTTGCAACTTTCTTACATTTACTCTAAAAGTAAGAACAGACCTATGGAAGGGTGTTCAGCCTTCACGGTGTGTGTTTCAAGAGGCTGACAGAGAATCCCTGCCCTTGAGGGATAAGAGCGCGCAGGGCCTGAGGCAATGAGATATTCTTTATTTAGGTCCTAATAAAACTTTCAGTATTTCCTGGCCCTCATGACTGTCTTTCCTGAGCCCCCTGGGGGCCATGACTAAGACTATGATTTAGTCATGGGTATTTTTAGTAAAAGTCATGGACAGGTCACAGGCAACAACCAAAAATTCACAGCCTGTGACCTGTCCGTGACCTTTACTATAAATACCCCTGATTAAATCTTAGCGGGGAGCCCACAGGGAGCCAGCAGCTGGGGAACGCTGAGCAGAGGCTGCTCTGGCCACCCCTGGGCCACTGCTCGGGCGGGTCCCGTGGCCAGCCACACCGGCTGCTGCTCGGGTAGTCCCTGGGGCCAGCTGCCGGGGGCCGCCGAGCAGTGGCTGGCCCCAGAGCTGCTCCAGCCATAACCAGACTCTGTATACAGACCCTACTGACCATAACATTCAGAGCATTACAGGCTTTCCTAAAACACCTCACTTGACGTATGTTTATACACAACACCATTGTGTGCAGCCTGCCTCAGAATGGTAATGAGGTGGATGAACTGGAAGGGTGGAATCAGCGTCAACGGAGAGCAGTTAAAGCACCTCAGATTCACGGATGATAGTGTGTTGATTGCCAGAAACACTATCAAACGACAGAAAATGCTGCAAGGGCTTGACACAGAAAGCAGCCAAGTCGGACTGAAAATGAACCGCTCTAAATCGAAATGTATGCGGTTTGAGGCCTTGCCAAAAGCCCAAATAATAGTCAAGGGGGAACAAATAGAAGTTGTTGAGCAATACGTCTGTTTGGGCCAAGAAATTAACATGCACCACGATCGGGAAGGCGAACTGTCGCAAAGAAAGGAAGCTGGCTGGCGTGCATTCAATTCTATCAAGGATGTTCTCCAAGGAAAAATCAACAAGGCAACACGTGCCAACTTCTTCAAGTCTACAGTAGTGCCGGCAATGTTCTACGGCAGCGAAACATGGGCACTTACCGAGATAGAGGAGCAACAACCCCTCTGTCATGGAGAGGGCGATGGAAAGAAGAATTCTGGGGATTTTAATCAGGGACCAAGTCCCCAATGATATCATCAGACAGCAGAGTGGAGTGCAGGACATCATTGTTGAAAGCAGGTACATTAAAATGCGATGGGCAGGGGAATATAGCAAGGCTCACTGAGAATCGATGAACTGTAGCTGTCGCTGAGAGGTACCTACGGGAACTGAAATGACCACTCTGCCGACCTCCAAAGAGATGGGAAGATTTTATCATGCAGAGACATGGCCGCACCTGGAGAAGGAAGGATAAGAGAAGAATGGAAAGCTACTATTGTGATCGGCGCAATCTAAATGAGCGCTGAAGGACCGATCGATCAAGATGACTACCAGTTGATTCAGTTGCTTATTCTTTGTGGTTCGGATCTCCTGTTCTCCCCTTGGCATGACTGGATCCTGGTTGTCACAACTGTTGTCCAAGGGAATCTGCCAATACCATTTGACGAGATGAATTGTGCTACGGTATTTTGCTTCACCCAAAGTGTCTAACGTCTCATCATCTCTGGCCTACGGGATGCATCAGGGACTGTGACACCATTCTGTTTTCTAGAATCAACACAATACCTCGCAGCTTACCATTTTTAGGGACCAACATCACAGGAGAGGCCCAAGAGCTGCCAGACTCTTTAATTTCCTGTATCCAGCATTTTGTACTTCTTCACAAATTTGTTTTTGTACATTACCTGGATGCCCTGCTAGAGGCAGGCTGGGGTCCCACCGTGTCAATCCTATGGAATATTTTATGAGTCATCCCGAGCATGTTTGAGAACACTTGCTTGCGGCTTTGCAGAACAGCCAAGATCTCTGCCTTCTGAGTGGGTGTTAGCTCTGTGCATACTTCAGTCCTGCCAAGTGACGAGTCACCCTGGCATTCAGGATGCCTCAGACCTTCCTTCCTCACAGCACACCGTAGTCACAATTGCTTCACTATTGTGACAGGCTCTAAGGCTATTAACATAGAATAACACGTAGTGTGGGACCGCATTACTTTGGGGATCATTCTCTTGTTCTACAACTTCGTAGGGTTCCTCCTAGGAGGTTTGCTTTTTGTCTTTGTCGCACTAATACTAAATCCACCACGTCCAAAGAGTATCGACAGGCATTTTTATCATACTTTGCCTTTTGTGTGCTCCTGCGCTCAGTGTTTCAAGAGGCAGGATGTCCTCATTCCCTTCCTGTGAACTTTCCGCCCCCCTGTTTGTAAATAGGGTGTTTTGGTTCTACCATGCTTAATTTACAGCGGAGACAGGTAGATAGCTGCCTTCTCTCCTGCCTCGGAGGGAATCGGCTTCTCCCTGTTTGGCCACAGACGTTAAAGCATAATATCGTTGAGTATCCATATGTACTCAAAAAGAAAAGGAGTACTTGTGGCACCTTAGAGACTAACCAATTTATTTGAGCATGAGCTTTCGTGAGCTACAGCTCACTTCATCAGATGTTTACCGTGGAAACTGCAGCAGACTTTATATACACACAGAGAATATGAAACAATACCTCCTCCCACCCCACTGTCCTGCTGGTAATAGCTTATCTAAAGTGATCAACAGGTGGGCCATTTCCAGCACAAATCCAGGTTTTCTCACCCTCCACCCCCCACACAAATTCACTCTCCTGCTGGTGCTAGCCCATCCAAAGTGACAACTCTTTACATAATCAAGTAGGGCTATTTCCTGCATAGATCAAGGTTTTCTCACATCCCCCCCACCCCCATACACACACAAACTCACTCTCCTGCTGGTAATAGCTCATCTAAACTGACCACTCTCCAAGTTTAAATCCAAGTTAAACCAGAACATCTGGGGGGGGGGGGGGTAGGAAAAAACAAGAAGAAACAGGCTACCTTGCATAATGACTTAGCCACTCCCAGTCTCTATTTAAGCCTAAATTAATAGTATCCAATTTGCAAATGAATTCCAATTCAGCAGTTTCTCGCTGGAGTCTGGATTTGAAGTTTTTTTGTTTTAAGATAGCGACCTTCATGTCTGTGATTGCGTGACCAGAGAGACTGAAGTGTTCTCCGACTGGTTTATGAATGTTATAATTCTTGACATCTGATTTGTGTCCATTTATTCTTTTACGTAGAGACTGTCCAGTTTGACCAATGTACATGGCAGAGGGGCATTGCTGGCACATGATGGCATATATCACATTGGTGGATGTGCAGGTGAACGAGCCTCTGATAGTGTGGCTGATGTTATTAGGCCCTGTGATGGTGTCCCCTGAATAGATATGTGGGCACAATTGGCAACGGGCTTTGTTGCAAGGATAAGTTCCTGGGTTAGTGGTTCTGTTGTGTGGTATGTGGTTGTTGGTGAGTATTTGCTTCAGGTTGCGGGGCTGTCTGTAGGCAAGGACTGGCCTGTCTCCCAAGACTTGTGAGAGTGTTGGGTCATCCTTTAGGATAGGTTGTAGATCCTTAATAATGCGTTGGAGGGGTTTTAGTTGGGGGCTGAAGGTGACCGCTAGTGGCGTTCTGTTATTTTCTTTGTTAGGCCTGTCCTGTAGTAGGTAACTTCTGGGAACTCTTCTGGCTCTATCAATCTGTTTCTTTACTTCTGCAGGTGGGTATTGTAGTTGTAAGAAAGCTTGACAGGGATCTTGTAGGTGTTTGTCTCTGTCTGAGGGGTTGGAGCAAATGCGGTTGTATCGCAGAGCTTGGCTGTAGACGATGGATCGTGTGGTGTGGTCAGGGTGAAAGCTGGAGGCATGCAGGTAGGAATAGCGGTCAGTAGGTTTCCGGTATAGGGTGGTGTTTATGTGGCCATTGTTTATTAGCACTGTAGTGTCCAGGAAGTGGATCTCTTGTGTGGACTGGACCAGGCTGAGGTTGGTGGTGGGATGGAAATTGTTGAAATCGTGGTGGAATTCCTCAAGGGCTTCTTTTCCATGGGTCCAGATGATGAAGATGTCATCAATATAGCGCAAGTAGAGTAGGGGCTTTAGGGGACGAGAGCTGAGGAAGCGTTGTTCTAAATCAGCCATGAAAACGTTGGCATACTGTGGGGCCATGCGGGTACCCATAGCAGTGCCGCTGATCTGAAGGTATACATTGTCCCCAAATGTGAAATAGTTATGGGTAAGGACAAAGTCACAAAGTTCAGCCACCAGGTT